TATCCTAACAAAGCATACATCAATGGAAAGCTTATTTATTCATGTATAAATTGAAAAATTGATCCTTATGACTGGTTTTGTAGTCCTGGGTCACATATGAGCTCCATATTCTCACTACAGTATATCACACTATATGAGCCATAAAAGCCTGCGTATCAAATATGATACAAAACATAATCCACATAAGCAGATGTTTATATATATATATATATATATTTTTTTGTCTGACTGTTCAATTAAAAGAATATATTTTTTCAGGCTATTATTTCGTATGTCAGGCTTTACAGTGTTAAAACTGCAGTCTGATTGCTGACTCTATAGAAAGGTTGTGGCTAGATGGTAACCTTTGTTCAGTCATATTATCACAAAGTTAACTGTTTTGTCTTTAACCACATCAGATGTTGTGATTCACTTCTGTTGTGTGCTTGTTAACAGATAACTGTTCAAGCTTGCCACAGACTCCTGAAGATGTGGAGAGCCGTGGGAAGGTTCTGAGGCTGCTGGACTCTGTGACTGACGCTCTAGTTTGGACCATCTCCATGACAGGCTTGTCCTCACAGCAACAGTCCATCCGGCTCGCCCATCTACTAATGCTGCTCTCACATATTCGACACCTCAGGTACCACAGCAGACTGTGTTTGTGATCTCACAGGGGTCGTATTATATACTTTCACAGCATTTTGTTTCAATTTTCACTGGCTCACTGTTCCTTTCTTCTGTCATCCATAGCAACAAAGGCATCGAGCATCTGTCAACCATGAAAAGAAAAAACGTGGTGCTGCTGTATGATCTTCTGCTAGAGATGCTGGATGCCAACACATCCCAAAGCAGCCGGATGCTAGCGGCTCACACAAAAGCCTCTCTCCGGTCGGACACACAACAGACCACAGAGATCCTCCACACATCCAGACAGCAGCCTGCGCTGAAAGAGAGCAACCAGGAGACCCGGCACAGTCCACAGTGAGTGTATCCATACATGCACACTCGTGTTGAATTGTGCCATTTTTGGTAATACAGAAATCATATTTTGTGAAAAATCCACCCACAAGTTTATCAAAAGATAACCACAAGATATCCAAATGATAGTTAAGTTTATGTAACTGGTTGCCATTCAAAAGGGTGGGGTCAGAAAAAATAAAAATAAATGAATACTTTTATTCAGCAAGGATGCATTAAATTGATCAAAAGTGACAGCAAAGACTTTGATTTCGTTGCAAAATAATTTACTATGTTAAAAAAGATTTATATTTCAAATAAATGCTGTTTTTTTGTTTTTTTTTAAAACAGCAACAAATTTTTTCAACAAATCCTGAAAAAATGAATCATGGTTTACACAAAATATTAAGCAGCACAACAGTTTTTAACACTTATAATAAGAAATGTTCTTGAGCAGCAAATCAGCATATTACAATGATTTCTGAAGGATCATGTGACACTGAAGACTGGAGTAATGATGCTGAAAATTCAGCTTTGCCATCACAGGAATACATTGCATTTTGAAATATATTAAAATAGAAAACAGTTATTTTAAATTGTAATAACATTTCACTAAATTACTGATATTTGATTAAATAACTGCAGCCTTTTAAAAGTTTACCTTTAAAAACTTTCCTGTTCACACGATTTTTGTTTGTTTGACAAACTACATTAAATAGACTGTATCATGTTGAACCTGGAGCATTCCTTCAACTACAATCAAATAAATCATTATATATTTCTTAAAAAAACTTAATTTTTGATTAGTAATATGCATTGCTAAGAAATTCATTTGGACAACTTTAAAGGCAATTTATTTCAATGTTTTGATTGTTTGCACCCTGAGATTCCAGATTTTCAAATAGTTGTATCTTGACCAAATATTGTCCTATCCTAACAAAGCATACATCAATGGAAAGCTTATTTATTCATGTATAAATTGAAAAATTGATCCTTATGACTGGTTTTGTAGTCCTGGGTCACATATGAGCTCCATATTCTCACTACAGTATATCACACTATATGAGCCATAAAAGCCTGCGTATCAAATATGATACAAAACATAATCCACATAAGCAGATGTTTATATATATATATATATATATATTTTGTCTGACTGTTCAATTAAAAGAATATATTTTTTCAGGCTATTATTTCGTATGTCAGGCTTTACAGTGTTAAAACTGCAGTCTGATTGCTGACTCTATAGAAAGGTTGTGGCTAGATGGTAACCTTTGTTCAGTCATATTATCACAAAGTTAACTGTTTTGTCTTTAACCACATCAGATGTTGTGATTCACTTCTGTTGTGTGCTTGTTAACAGATAACTGTTCAAGCTTGCCACAGACTCCTGAAGATGTGGAGAGCCGTGGGAAGGTTCTGAGGCTGCTGGACTCTGTGACTGACGCTCTAGTTTGGACCATCTCCATGACAGGCTTGTCCTCACAGCAACAGTCCATCCGGCTCGCCCATCTACTAATGCTGCTCTCACATATTCGACACCTCAGGTACCACAGCAGACTGTGTTTGTGATCTCACAGGGGTCGTATTATATACTTTCACAGCATTTTGTTTCAATTTTCACTGGCTCACTGTTCCTTTCTTCTGTCATCCATAGCAACAAAGGCATCGAGCATCTGTCAACCATGAAAAGAAAAAACGTGGTGCTGCTGTATGATCTTCTGCTAGAGATGCTGGATGCCAACACATCCCAAAGCAGCCGGATGCTAGCGGCTCACACAAAAGCCTCTCTCCGGTCGGACACACAACAGACCACAGAGATCCTCCACACATCCAGACAGCAGCCTGCGCTGAAAGAGAGCAACCAGGAGACCCGGCACAGTCCACAGTGAGTGTATCCATACATGCACACTCGTGTTGAATTGTGCCATTTTTGGTAATACAGAAATCATATTTTGTGAAAAATCCACCCACAAGTTTATCAAAAGATAACCACAAGATATCCAAATGATAGTTAAGTTTATGTAACTGGTTGCCATTCAAAAGGGTGGGGTCAGAAAAAATAAAAATAAATGAATACTTTTATTCAGCAAGGATGCATTAAATTGATCAAAAGTGACAGCAAAGACTTTGATTTCGTTGCAAAATAATTTACTATGTTAAAAAAGATTTATATTTCAAATAAATGCTGTTTTTTTGTTTTTTTTTAAAACAGCAACAAATTTTTTCAACAAATCCTGAAAAAATGAATCATGGTTTACACAAAATATTAAGCAGCACAACAGTTTTTAACACTTATAATAAGAAATGTTCTTGAGCAGCAAATCAGCATATTACAATGATTTCTGAAGGATCATGTGACACTGAAGACTGGAGTAATGATGCTGAAAATTCAGCTTTGCCATCACAGGAATACATTGCATTTTGAAATATATTAAAATAGAAAACAGTTATTTTAAATTGTAATAACATTTCACTAAATTACTGATATTTGATTAAATAACTGCAGCCTTTTAAAAGTTTACCTTTAAAAACTTTCCTGTTCACACGATTTTTGTTTGTTTGACAAACTACATTAAATAGACTGTATCATGTTGAACCTGGAGCATTCCTTCAACTACAATCAAATAAATCATTATATATTTCTTAAAATGAGATTTTTCACACAAGGTTTTCTCATCTAAGCTAACATATGTGTGTCTGCCTCTCTAGAGCTGAAGAGACAGTGGATAAGACATTACGTTCTAGTCTGCATCGAGTGGACATGGACACAGACTGACAGTATCCCTTCTGTGGGGTAAAAATCTCCCTGGATGCAGCATTGGATATGAATCCAATTTCCAAGCCGCTTGTCCAATGTAGGGTCGTGGGGGATTCAAACCAGACCTGGAAAAAAAAACTTAGATGACCATCAACAACCTGAACCAAACAGGGCTTTCAAATGGCGCTCAGTCTTGCTTCAACACAATGCAGTTTGAACTGTTGTTTTCCTATTATGCCATAATGTCAACCTGAAGAGGAATCCTTCTTATTCAAACCAATCATGTTTTCAGTATTCAAGAAATCACAAATGGAATCCTTTTAATGTGAAGTGTGTAATTTCTGTGGTACACAGTAGCAAGAAACTGTTTTAAACAACATTCGAACACTCCCCCGTCTGCCATTTCTCAGCTAGCACCACCCCTAAATCACGCCATTGGTTGAGCCAGTGCTATGTTGTGTCCTTTTGGGCCATTCAAACAGATTGCCGAAATTACACGCTGCACATTTAAATATTTGGTTTGCCATCCAAGATGTCAGAGAACCTCTGACTTAACCATGACTGTTTCTCTGAAGACTGGCCGAGCTAAATGAAACGCACACTTCTAATAGTTTATGCATTTTGTACTCTTGTGTCTGTGTATTTGTAAGACATTTAAGTGTGCTGTTATTTGCTGTTCTGTGTTGCTTCTCGTGGTTTATAAAGTACTTGTCACTGACAGTAAATGTAACGCTTTTAAAAACATCTGGGAGTGCTGATGCCTCTTTCAGATGTTTTCTTAAAGCCTGGTTTAAGATGCACAATCAACACTTGAAAAGTGTATCAAATTATATTATACTTTGTAATGTGTAATTACAGATGCAGCTGAGTTTTCTGGTGCTACAAGTGTTAATAACGGTGCATCCTTGTTCATATTCTGCACCTGAAGTGTCCTGAGAAGCAGCAATTGCATTAAAGCTGCAGTGTATAATTTTTGCATGTCACCAAGTAGTGTTGCAATGCTGCCTTCCATTTTGGTGGGCTCATCCCAGTGCCCTTATCCCTTCGAAGGGTTTACCCTCCAGAGTCAGTGCTTCGAAGGGATGAAGGGTGTAGGGGACCCAAAAAAATTTGTTCCTTGCAAACCACTTCTGCATCATTTTGCTAAGCAAATTAACGTGGCACTGTCGTCGCACAAAGAATCATGGAAGCAAAGTGACCATCAGTTATACCTGTTGAAATCCTTCATTCCGAAGTGCAAATTAACAGCATTTTAATAGCTTCACTGTTTACAGTTTTTGGGGAATTAACCTACTTTTATTTATCTGGTTAAACTGAAAAAAAAAAAAATTACACCAGCTTTAAACAGGAAAAAATATACTGATGATACACTGACACAACAGTAAGTTTCTACAGGTAGCAAAACTAAATTCATTTTATTGTATTCAGCTGCATATTAAATAAATATGTGGGAATTAAATAAGTGAACACGTGCATATTTGTACGATGTTTATTTGTAGGAAAATTGACTTCAAACTCAAAAAAACACAAACATCTTTATATTGTCTTCAACCAGTGTTTGACATTGGCAGTGCAAGGTTTGCTGCAAAATAAATTCATAATAAAGTGAATGTTTTCTGTGATTAATGGATACTTTATATCATAGTCTATTTTAGTTGACCCATAATGTAATCTATACTATAACAATTCAATTAAAAACATCAAACAACAAGACGAACAGCACTATTTTAGTAACTCTGTCTCTGACACTTTGGCAGTTAGTATGAGTGAAAGAGTGACTAATGGCCTTTCTCCAGACTTCCTGTAGGTTAAAAATAAAATAAAAGCCAGATACAGTCATGTGGATACTTTTGAAATGTGTTTCTATGAGACACCTTAACCATTTAGCTCAAAACACACCAGACACAAACACATCTGGGTACCAGATTTTCCTGCCTGAAAAATTCTAGCTATAAACTATAAAACATAATCAGATATAATTTATATCTCCACTGAGATCATTTACCAATTATAATTAAATAATTTCAGTAGTTTTACAATATTCACACACACACACATGAAAACAACACAGCCACCAAACTTTAGGCTGAATAAATTAAACATAACATTTGCACACACCCTGATGCCTCTTTGCGTCTCTCCTCCATGGCTTTGACCAAGAAAATGGTAGCTAAGAGAGCTACAAATAAAATATATTCATCATTGCAAGTCATTTTACACTGGCTCCTAGAAACAAGACTGTATGTAAGTCCAATCACTCAGACATATAAACAGGGCTTCTAGTTAAACAATACAGGCTGACTCAAAGCCTATAGGGTTCAATTGTCATTTATATGTCAAAAATAAATACATTTGTGTGAAGGAGTATTTCAATGTTTCAATGAATGTCCTGCTACATACTATACAATTAAAAAATGAGTGCACCTTCGATGAGGAGTCCTTGCTGTTCTCTAAAAATACAAATATACATCATGAGGAAAGTTTCAGACTGCTTCAGAAAAAATCTCTCTCCATGTGCAACAGTCCTCGGATCCAGGAACAAGATTTGATTGTTGCAGGACAATCTACTGAATCCCAAACACAAGGGCTTTCACTCAGATTAATCAGAGCTACAGGATCTGCTACAGGAGAGTAAACCGGGAGGCTTGGACTACGCCCCCATTTCCTCTACTGAATGAGCTGTGGCTGTGTGTTAGTGAAGGGTACGTGTAGTTGTTCTCATGTGGGTGGGGGTCCATTGGTGTAGAGGAGCATGGGGTAAAAGGATCGGGCAAAGTTGTTGGAGAGAGTGCAGCTGTAGTCGTCCTCTGAGAGAGGCACCAGACACGCCACAACCAGCAGCAGCAGGAAGAAGATGTGGAGGGGAAAAGCCGCACGTAGGACACGATACAGGAACGGCCTCGCTGGGGACGAATCAGACTTGTCAGCCCTGCAGAAAGACAGTTAGACAGTTATTGTTAGACAGTCTAAATTTTTTACGCTACTGCTAAAATGTTTGGGTTTAGTAATATTTTTTAAAATAAACATTCAGTAAGGATGCATTAAATTGATCAAAAGTGACAGTAAATACTTACATTGTTACATTTTTTTCTTTTTACCTTTTTATTGATCAAAGAAGCCAACCATGTTTTTTTTTTAACATTAATAATAATAAATGTTTCTTGACCACTAAATTATATAAAATTATTTTTGAAAGATCATGTGACACTGAAAATTAAACTTTGCCATCACAGAAATAAAGTATGTTTTAAAATATATCACAATAGTACAAAACAATATTTTTAATTGTAATAATATTTAACATTATTACTTTTTTACTGTATCTTTGATCAGATAAATGTAGCGTTGGTGAACATCATAGACTTTTGTTTTTCAAAAACATTATAAAATCTTACCAACCCCAAACTTAATATTTTTGTGGAAACTAAGGATCTTTTTTTTTTATTAATAAAAAAATATTTTGTAACATTAATATTGTCTTTACTATAAATTTTGATCAATTTAAGGCATCCTTGGTGATTAAAAGTATTAATCTTAAAAAAAAAAAAAATCTTACTGAACCCAAACTTTCGAACCTTTAACCTAAAACGAGGATGTTGCTTAAAAAAATCAACATGTTATTTATCAGCTATGCATAATTCAATGTGAGTTATTTCTTAACTTTGTGGCTTGTGAAGGTCAGCATAAAGTACATGTTGAATATTTCGAGAGGTGAAAGTGGAGCAGATGTGTGAAATTGAGAAAAACTAGAGGGTGTGATTAGAGTACTAGAAGAAATCAACTTCAGCAAGGTCATACAAGATCGCAAAATCTCACGACAGAACACAGATGCATAGTAATACTATCAGTGTGTACCTGACACTCGCAGGAGATCCCCGTGTAACAGCCTGAACTCCTGCGGCTTCCTAGAGAGATCAGAGAAATGACTCAGTGTTTGTTATACCATCAAGTAATCATGATAAACACAGACTAGAGATTCTTAGAAAACCCTCATTTACTGATACTTTCAAAACCAAACTCCCCAAGAGCAGCGTTAGAAGACAAAATCTATATTATGAAGTCAGAGCTTTGTAATTTCCAGTCTGAACAGGGTGTTAATGCAGAGAGTGTTTCTGTACCTGCTGTTGTGTTGATGCTGTCCTGCCCACATTTGGATCAGCTGAGTCCTGCAATAGAACATAAAGGATCAAAACATCAGTGTGTGAGAGTGAAACCCGCCTGGCCTGCAGAGAAAGCTTGTGCTTGTGTGTGTGAGACTGGATGAAACGTACCAGTCTGCTTTGCAGCGTGTGCAGATCGTGTGCAATCTGTCTGATCAGCAGTCGTAACTTGTTGCTGATGACGTGAACCTTCTCTTTGGCCTCCAGAGTGTCTTCTCCCTGGTGCTGTAGCAGGATCTGTGAGGAGATCTCCTGCAGGCAGTGCACCTCCCTCTCACGAGACTGTAAGTCCTGCTGAACAGCCTGTTATGCACAGATAACAACAACCCATATATTAAGATATGAAGAAATTTTGTCCCACAATTAATCGTTTTTTCATCAAATTTTTGTGGGGGCATTATTATGTATTGTACAATAACAGCACACAAGCACACTATTCTACCTTGAGCGTGTCTCGATGCTCTTGCAGGATGTTGAGGTCTGTGTTTTGGTCATGGATGTTGACCATGTAGCGCTGGCTTTCTGCTTTAGCTAACCACAGCAGCAGAGAGTGAAGAGTCTCGTGAAACTCCTGTGAAAAAGAAAATGGAATAAACAGATGAGTCTGTGTTTCTCACAGGTCATCTTTACAAAAGCCCTAAAGGAAGTTACAGGAAAAAATAGCACATAATTTGCCCCCACAAGCTGGCTTTTTTTTATTTTATTAAAGGGGTCATATGATGCGATTTCAAGTTTTCCTTTCTCTTTGGAGTGTTACAAGCTCTTGGTGCATAAAGAAGATCTGCTCGTGATTATGGTAAGGGGCGTTACATTTCCGACGAGTGCTTGTGGTGTTCGGCCAATCAGAATGCACTGGGTCAGCTGGCCAATCAGAGCGGACTGCGCTTGTCAAAGGAGGGGGCTTTGTAGAAAACGAAGCGTTTGAGAGAGGCGGGGCATAGAGGACCTACAATAATGTACAGTATTTGAAAAATAATGTGTTCTTTGAACATTAAAGCATGTCAACATATTATGTTACACCAAATACACAAAATAATGATCTTTAAAATAGCATCATATGACCCCTTTAAATGATAATTACAATTTAATTACATTTTATACAAGTCTGTCACGGTATGCTGTAGCTTTAAGAACAACGTGTACCCCAGCATTTCTAAAACCTTTTTCAACAAACAACTAAAAAAAAACAACTTTGTGGTTTAATGGTTTTGTATCCTGAGATAAAATCTCACCAACACAAAAAGTAACAAGTGCAAGTGTGTGAAGGTGCAGAGACATGAGCTTACTAAAAGCATCTTGTGTTGCAGTTGCAAAACAAAACATTCATGGTACTTTGCTGTAGTGTCTTAACTCTGGGATCAGTGTCACTTTTCGAGCTTGTTTTTCCTCACCTGGCACTCCATGAGTGCTTGATGCAGTCGGTGTTCCCAGCTGTCTAGGGCCACACAGGCCTGTGTCCATTTCTGATTGGCTGCCTGCAGATTCTCACGCAGTTCGCATAGTTCGGCGCTGTCTCCGTGCTGGAAGCCCCGCCCACTGAGATTAACACCAATCATCACTGATTTGTAGCCGTTAAAAATCCTCTGCATGTCCTTATGAAAAACAAAATGAGAAAATGAACCTATAAGGTATATGCCTAAATAATACACACTACCATTCAAATGTTTGCTCACCAAAGCTGCATTTATTTGACAAAAAATACAGTAAAAACAATAATATTGTGAAAAATTATTGCAATAAACAAAAATCAGTTTTTAATTTATTTAGGTGATGTCAAAGCTGAATTTACAACAGCCATTACTCCAGTCTTCAGTGTCATATGATCCTTCAGAAATCATTCTAATATGCTGATTTGATGCTCAAAAAAAAAAAAAACTTTTATATTCATATTATTATAAATATTGAAAACAGTTGTGCTGCTTAATATTTTTGTGAATACCATGATACATTTTTTCAGGATTCTTTGATGAATAGAAAGTTCAAAAGAACAACATTTATTTGAAAAAGAAATCTTTACAGTACTGTTCAAAAATTTGTGCTAAGTAAGATTTTTAATGTTGCTTAAGTCTATTCTGCTCACTAAGGCTGTGTTTATTTGATAAAAAATACAGAAAAAAACAGTAAAATAGTGAAATTATAACAATTTAAATGAACTGTTTTCTATTTTAATATACTTAAAAAAATTATTTATTCCTGTGATGCAAAGCTGAATTTTCATCATCACTACTCCAGTCTTCAGTGTCACATGATCCTTCAGAAATCATTCCAATCTAATATGCTGATTTATGATCGATGTTGGAAACAGTTGTGTTGCTTAATATTTTTTGGAACCTTCGATGCTTTTTTTATTTCTGTGATCAGGTTTGCATCACAGGAATAAATTGTATTTTACAATATATTCACATTGAAAACAGAGAAATTTAAAATTGCAATAATATTTCACAATATTGCTGTTTTTTCTGTATTTTTGACCAAATAAATGCAGCCCTGATGAGCAGAAGAAACTTCTTTTAAAAACATTAAAAATAGTACTGATCCCAAACTTTTGAACGGCAGTGTATATTTAAAATATATAAATATAAATTATTAATAAAAATGCACTCTCTCAAGTGCATTGTTTTATAAACTTTGTTTGTGTCCGATCCTATCACTCTCTAAATGTCTCTGTAAGTAAGTACCTTTAGTTTGTGGATATTGCTCTCCATGTCTCTGATGGTGATTTTTGGCTCTAGAGTTTGAAGCTTCTCTAGCTCAGGCATCACAGTGTCCAACCATGCCATGACATCAGTTAGGTCAGAGTTGAGTTTGTGCCACTGCTGAAGATCCTGCGGCATGCTGCACGACTGCACCTGCAGGAGCTCCCATCGTTCGATCACACCTGACGCCACAGATCAGAGTGCAAAGGTCAGATATGACTGAAACTCAACTCATGTATGAACATTTCTGTAAAAGTATTACAAATAGCAATACCTGTCTTATCAGCTGCAGAGAGTGCCGTCAAACCATGATCGTCCAGTTGTTCTTCCTCGCTCAGAATCAGTTTCACTCGCTTTATACTGTCTATACTGCCAGCACACTCAGACATGAGTTTATCCTGGAGAGAAAGAGGAAATACAACACAAAATATGTTTATATGTGTGCGCCAATGTTAATGTGTGTTACTGAGTGTGATGCGTGTGTGAGGACTCACATAGGCCTGTGGGTGGTACTGAGCGCTGGTGTCAGTGGGTGAAGATGTGAGACTGCGTATGATTTCTCTGTTCGCTCGCTTCCTGTCTGGCGCATCAGGAGAGTGCCACGGCTCCACCACTGACCTTCCCCCTAAGCGAGAGACAGAGAGAGATATTTTAACTCCTTATATCACTTAAAACAACGATGCAGGAAGTCATCACTCAGTTGCACAACATGCTACAGAAAACAAAAAAAGAATAAAGATGCAATTGGTTGCAAAACTGACGTGCATTATGAAAAACATCTGTTTGAACATGTACTGCGACACATGCAGGAGAAGACTCTTGGCAAACATAAAAACAAGCATCACGGGATTTCAAGAACACGGGCACCTGCTTGAGAGAGGAAGTTGTTAAGCAGTCAGGCAGTGAGCACAAGGCATAAAATGTCTATTATATTTAGAGATGAATGAAGGAAACATATACTAAAGCACGCATGTAATGTGCAGTGACAGTGCTGACAGCATGCAGCAGGCTGATGCCTACCGGACACAGCCTTCAGAGCTTTAGATGTAGCTTTAATAAATGACTGAGAGCTCTCAGTGACTTCTACATCTGCAACAGAAGAGTGGCAGACAGACAGTGATCTAGAGACAAAATAATCTAGACTAATAGAGAGTCATTTAACAGACAGAGATCTAGATACAGTATAACAGGGAGGCAGAAAACAAGAAGATGTACAGCAGATACACTACTAGAGCATTGAATAACAGCTCTAGATACACCAATCTAATTCATCATATGGATCATTCGATAATTGGGGTACATTTCACAGCAATGAAAAATGCAAAAACAACATGCTTTCTCAACAAAAAGACTATTGGTTTCTTCATATATTTCATCAGTGCAACATATGCTACTTGCCAAGCTTAAGCATTAAAACGCCATTTTAAAATAACACTGAAAAGAGATTTTTCAAAGTTACAAATAAAAATTATTGGAGTTTTCCAAGAAAATACTATTTCAGTTTTTCCTATACTTAAAAATTGCACATTTCCTGTAATTCAGTGTGTTATTGTCCATTTCTTTGGAATTGTTTGTCAAATGTACTAATTGTTTCTACACCATTTGGTGTTTTTTAACTATATCAGCCATTTCTTAGTTGCAGGTGGTTGTACAGTTAGTAACACAGTTGACAGAAAGTTGTGGAAATAAATATTGCAGAAAGAAATATTTTTTTAGAAATTCATTTAATATGCTAATATTGACCTCAATTTTTAAAAATAATTACTTTGAACTCAAAACCCAATGACAAAAAAATGGACACTGCAAAAACGGTAATTTAAGGGACATCAAGGTAATTTCAAGTAATAAAATATTATTTTTGTCAAGAAAATTGTTATGATCATCAATGGACATGAAATGTACCCTAAATTGTAGAATGACTCATATAATAGATAAAGAGATCTAGATACAGCATTACAGATTACTAGTGCATCTATATACACTAATACAGCACTGGATAGTATACAAGGACATCTAAAACACTCACATAGAGAATCCAATAACAGACAGAGATCTAGATTCTCTTTAAACAAGCAGCAAAAAGAGCTCGACATTTACCTACAAGTGCAGTAGATAGCAGATAAAGAGATCAACAGAGCGGCAGATTACAGACAGTGATAGATATACTCTAACAGAGTTAGACTCTAACTATCTGGGCACTCTAACAGAGTGTCATGTAAGAGACAAAGAAATCTAGAAAGACCCTAATAGTGCAACATATAGCAAAAACAGAGATCTAGAAACTCTAACAGAGCGGCCTAACACAGACAGACAGATCTAGATACACTTTAATAGAGCTGCAGAGACCAGTCTTTAAAGAGTTACCTGATAGGGCGCTGTAGAACGTCAACTCCTCATCATCCTCTGGAGATGAAGATCCACCCACATCTACGGTGTGGTCCCACTCCAGTGGGATTGAATCCACACTGACGGGGGTGTCACGCCCTGAGCGCTCTAGAGCAGGTGGTATCAGCTGGTACACAGCCTGGCGTACTGTTAGAGAAACATCAGAACTCATCGCAGCCTCCTCGTCCTCCTCCCTCTCCCACACCCCACTGAAATCAGCCGAGTCCTCCGGATCTGTGTCTCTGTCTGAGAACTCTCGGTCCTCCTCACGCACCTATGAGAAGAAAAAAGTGGGAAGGGTTAAAGTCAGTAATCAAGTCAGGAGAGTATCGTTCAGTGTTTGTGAGATGAGTCGTTTCAAACTGACTGGGCGTCTGCTGATAAGACGGTGGTGGAATCGGGCGACTCTGCCAAATACTTCCTGGCAGTATGAGTGCAGCTCCTCTAGTTCATCTTCAATGAGTACGGCGTCCAGCGGAGCACTCTTCTGGATCAGGTTCTCTCCAAATACAATCAGAGCATCGATCTTATTTGTGTTTAGAGTGATCTCCTGCTGAAATGCCTGCAGGAATCAAATAACAAATTATTTTTCACTCTGACTGTGTGACCAGACTTATTCAACCTGTTTAACTGTTTAATAGTTACAATAGCAATTTTTACATAAAATCAGAGTGTACTGACGTTTAGTTGACGCATCTTTTCATGGATATCACTCTCTGAAAAATGCTCCACATTGGTGAGCTGAAGGTCCATTTCAGTCAGCCAGACCAGAATCCCCTCCCTTGTTCCTTCAAAGTCTTCACGCTGGGATGTGAAGTGCTGCACAGAGGAGAAGCATTTAGAGCTCAGTAACGTTTTAGAAAATTCCCTCAATTTTTAAAAATAATTACTTTGAACTCAAAACCCAATGACAAAAAAATGGACACTGCAAAAACGGTAATTTAAGGGACATCAAGGTAATTTCAAGTAATAAAATATTATTTTTGTCAAGAAAATTGTTATGATCATCAATGGACATGAAATGTACCCTAAATTGTAGAATGACTCATATAATAGATAAAGAGATCTAGATACAGCATTACAGATTACTAGTGCATCTATATACACTAATACAGCACTGGATAGTATACAAGGACATCTAAAACACTCACATAGAGAATCCAATAACAGACAGAGATCTAGATTCTCTTTAAACAAGCAGCACGACATTTACGACATTTACCTACAAGTGCAGTAGATAGCAGATAAAGAGATCAACAGAGCGGCAGATTACTAGATATACTAGATATACTCTAACAGAGTTAGACTCTAACTATCTGGGCACTCTAACAGAGTGTCATGTAAGAGACAAAGAAATCTAGAAAGACCCTAATAGTGCAACATATAGCAAAAACAGAGATCTAGAAACTCTAACAGAGCGGCCTAACACAGACAGACAGATCTAGATACACTTTAATAGAGCTGCAGAGACCAGTCTTTAAAGAGTTACCTGATAGGGCGCTGTAGAACGTCAACTCCTCATCATCCTCTGGAGATGAAGATCCACCCACATCTACGGTGTGGTCCCACTCCAGTGGGATTGAATCCACACTGACGGGGGTGTCACGCCCTGAGCGCTCTAGAGCAGGTGGTATCAGCTGGTACACAGCCTGGCGTACTGTTAGAGAAACATCAGAACTCATCGCAGCCTCCTCGTCCTCCTCCCTCTCCCACACCCCACTGAAATCAGCCGAGTCCTCCGGATCTGTGTCTCTGTCTGAGAACTCTCGGTCCTCCTCAAGCACCTAGTGGGAAGGGTAAAAGTTAGTAATCAGTCAAGAGTGTATTGTTCAGCATTTGTGAGATGGGTCTTTTCAAACTGACTGGGCGTCTGCTGATAAGACGGTGGTGGAATCGGGCGACTCTGCCAAATACTTCCTGGCAGTATGAGTGCAGCTCCTCTAGTTCATCTTCAATGAGTACGGCGTCCAGCGGAGCACTCTTCTGGATCAGGTTCTCTCCAAATACAATCAGAGCATCGATCTTATTTGTGTTTAGAGTGATCTCCTGCTGAAATGCCTGCAGGAAGTCAAATCACAAATTATTTTCCATTCTGATTGTGTAACCAGACTTTTATACATAAAATCAGAGTGTACCGTACATTTAGTTGACGCATCTTTTCATGGATATCGCTCTCCGAAAAATGCTCAACATTGGTGAGCTGAAGGTCCATTTCAGTCAGCCAGACCAGAATCCCCTCCCGTGTTCCTTCAAAGTCTTCACGTTGAGACGTGAAGTGCTGCACAGAGGAGAAGCATTTAGAGTTCAGAAACATTTGAGAAAATTGAGGTTTGCCCAAAAAAGGTACACTTTGTTGTCATGGAAACGAAGAATTGAAGGTCAGAGATGCAATTAATTTTAACATTTTCTCAGGTTTTTAGGTTTATTAGGTGCCATTTCCAAACCAGTCAGTATTTGAGAATTTAATATGTAATAAAAAGTACTGTTCAAAACTATAGGGTTGGCAATATTTTTTCATGTTTTAAAAAAAGTCTCTTATTCTCACCAATGCTGCATGTATTTGATTAAAAGCACATTAAAAACACAGTAAAAACTGTAATGTTGCGAAATATTATTACAATTTAAAATAACTATTTTCTATTTTAATTTATTTAAATTTATTTCTGTGATGGCAAAGCTAAACTTTCAGTCTTCGGTGTCACATGATCCTTCAGAAATCATTGTAATATGCTGATTTGCTGCTCAAGAAACATTTCTTATTGATATAAACAGTTGTGCTGCTTGATATTTTAATTTAAACTTTCATACATATTTTCAGGATTCTTTAATGAATAGAAAGTAAAAAAAACAGCATTTATTCGAAGTAGAAATCTTTTGTAACATTACAAATGTTGTATTGTCACTTTTGAACAATTTATTGTCTCCTAACTGACTAAAAGAAATGTATGACTCAAGTCTGACCTTTAACCTGCGGAGCACAGTGGCCACTCTCTTCTGTAACGTATCCCAGCGCTGGTTTCCCTCGTGCACCATCAACTTCAGCTTACTGGCACCATCTGTCCGGTTCTCTCGTGCCAGACGTCGGTATTGTTTGTTCACCAGCTCCAGCTGTGTCAGGCGCTCATGGACCTGGCGCTGGAACGCCTGCATGCGCGTATGTTTAAAAACAGTGTTAATAGTCCAATAGATTACGTCTAGACAATCACAAATTTGAAAGCCACTACACTCTTAAAAACAGGTTATTTATTGCCATTTATAGTTCCATGAAGAAGCTTAAACATCCATGGAACTTTTCCATTGCACAAAAGGTTCTTTATACTTGAAAAAAGGTTCTTTAGATTATTAAAATGTTCTTTACACTAAGAAAGTCCTTTAAAGAACTCAAATGTTCTTTGGGGAACCAAAAATTGTTTTCTTTGGCGTCACGGCGAAAACCCTCTTAAGCGTGTATTTCAGTATTAATTTTAATCTGTATGAGAGTTCTGGTGCTATTACTCAGATGATGAACAGGCTACTATGAGTGAAAAAAAACCTTAAACAGATTCAGACCTCAAACTTTTTGAGTTCCTCTTTAGCACAGGTGTAGAGTACATCTTTGGTGGCAGGGTTGGCCGCTGTACGTTCTGCCGTGTTCAGCCACTCTTCAAAGCGCGAGTAGTCATCCAGGAACTTGCACCACAGACGCCATGTCTCCTCGATCCTGCAGGGGACAGTATAGAGCACAGTGGTTAGAGAAAAAAAGCAAATGCGTGACATTATGCAACAAAACATGCTGATTTGGGTGTTTGTATTGACCTCATTCTCCTCTCCATAGACATGGCACATATGTTCCTCCAGCGGCGGTCCAGGCTGAGCGTAGTCTGCTGAATGGAGTCGTTCTCTCCATCACTGCCACAAGCGTCCGCATCATGCAGCAAAACGTCACACAGGGTCAAAACAGACGCTACACCCTCTGTATGCTGTTCGATGTCTCTCTGCAAGTCCTAGTGGAGAACAACAATATCACATTCTAAAGGCCTGCTCACACCAAGGACAGGAACTATAATGATAACTATAAAGTTTTAATAATTGTTCATATTCTTTGAGAAGAGGAAAGTGTACACCACAACTATAATCATAACGACACAGAGGAGCAATATCATTGGAAGCAATTTCAAAATCCATCCTGCTTTAAAGAGCTTGAGCATTCATGGTGTGAATAGGCCTTAAGACTAATGTAGGCCTATAGTAGTCAACATTTGAAGTGGATCAAAGAAGTTCAAGACAAGACAAGAACACATTTTGTTTTAGGTTTTAGGACAACTTTGATGAAAGGTTTTGATCCACTTCAAATGTTGAATAGTGTATACCAAAAAACTCATCAAACTATCAGTCGTCTAAGAAAGATGACATTGCAAAGACATCAAAGTAATGCAAAAGGCTACATCAATGTCATCTCATATTAGGTGAAACTTCATGTAAATTTTCAATAATGGAGTAATATACACTTAAAGATAAAGATGAATAAGCTTTAGTGTCTCTCTTTACCTATACTCACCCTATAAAGCATTGGTGCTTAGAGAAATCTACCTCAAAACGCATTGTGCACTTTAAACATATATATTAGTTATTGTGGTTTTGTTAATGAATGCACCGATTACCTGATGCTCTGCTAGTTTGCGCTGTATCTCATCACTGTGGCAGACGCTGTAAATGATGGGTTTGGCCAGTTCACCCTCAACGCGGGAAAGCCAGGTACGGAGATTACTCATGTTCTTATCCAGCTGCTGCACTGTCACCAGCGTCTCCTTCAGCTTCCTCACCCTGAAATACAATCAGTCAGTCTTTCATTACCTTAATTGTTTTTGCTGGTATTCAATAGAACAGTGTAAGAGGAGACAGGAAGCAGTAAGAGGGGAGACAGGAACAGAACTGGGAAAAGACCTTAAGCTGGGACTCGAACTCAAGTCTTTTGTGTATCACAACTTTTGTCTATCACATTGTGTGTATCACTTAACAGCAGTTAAGAGTTTTGATTGGTTGGACATTTGCTGTCCTGTAAAACGGTAGTCAGTCACAGTCATCATTTCTTCTATAGAGTGCAACAGTGTCTGTCCACTTTTTTAGTGTCCTTTCTCCCATTTTCCCATTCATTTGCCCCATAGGGGTTTTAAAAAGTGCAATTTCTGTAGTTTAAAAATGATTATTGTAAAAAACAATAATGGTTTATAATTTATCGCAAAAAAATTCCTATGGAGACAATGAATGGGATTTTAACTTTAGAAACCTATAAGATATGGATATAGAAATGGATTCTTGCAATGAGTTTTGTTCTGTGTGGTGCATGAGGAACAGTTCACATAAAAAGCAAACATTCCTTGACCTTGTGTCATTCCTATAGCTAGCCTGCCAGCTGAGGTTTACAAAGACACAATGCAGGACAAAAGGCTTTTTATTAGGTTTGAGTGTGCAGTGACCCACGTCTGGTCCTTCTGTCGCAATCTATTCAACCCAGACCAGAACACTCAGTGTTAGGACTATCTGAGCATGTAGACGGCTTTCACGCCACTCTAAGAGTGACGTCATGTGACTAAGAGGATGGGGGCATTCCTTCACAGTCATGTGACATTTCCAATGGAGGTCTGACCAAAACAAACCGGAGTGCTGATGTGGAAGAAGTGACATCACACAACAACTCAACTGCACATGACAGCAATGCATTGAAGCATTTGCTGTGCCTATCAGAGGGTGTATTCTTACTGTGACAAACATAAGCATTATTTGCATTTATCACATGCAAAATGGGAAAACACTTAAAATAACAGATGCATGAAGTCACTTAGAATATTTGGTGCAATGAAATAAGGTAATGAGACAAGATGTACTCTGTATCACATCAATATAAACATAAAAGCCTTAAAAGATGACAAGATTTAGAAAGATATACTCTTTAAATAAAGCATTAGTAATTGCATAATTCCAAATGCATGCATCTAGCATGTTCTTCACAGCCTGATTTTGGTGCATATCTGTTTAGAATTGAGAACATGCACCATCTGCACATCACCAGCATGCACGTCCTCCCTAGAAACAAGTGTGTTTCCATGCAAAGCAGAATCTGATCAGTCCTGCACTGAAGCTAGTGTTAGCCACAGAACACACACTGACAAAAGCACTGCCCATCCCCCTCTCACAAAACATGCATGGTTACACGAAAGCCCTGTGTGTGTGCAATTAGCAAACACTTACTCGCAGACCGGTGAGGCTCCATGGCTCTCTCGTGTTAGCGTTAGCATGTCTGTCTTAATGGCTGTGGCTGATCTCACACAAGCTCGTTTCACAGACCGTGAACTGCTGTATACATTACTCCCATATGGAAGCAGATTAGACTCAATAATAATTCACGCAAAAGACACGATGCACACATGCGTATCCCAATTCACATGCATGAAATATTTGACAAATATGCATGACAATATTTTGTGCACGTGAATTGGTTTTTGTGAATATATATATTTTTTTCGTGCACGTGAATTGGGTTTCATGCATGTGAATTGGGATACACATGTGTGCATCGTGTCTTTTGCGTGAATTATTATTGAGTCTAATCTGCTTCCATACTCCCACCCTCCTGTCCCTCTCTCATATTCCCTCTCACTGAATGGCCAAGAGATCACATTTACAGTGGAGATGGTGAGGATACTCCATGTTCCCATCACTTTCTTCAACTGCATTACAAATAGGCTACAGCCAGTAGTTTTAAATATTTAGGAACATTTATAGACTGTCATATCACAAACAGCAATTTTGGCATGAGCAAGTATTTTAGAGATGTGTTACAGGAATCTTGTGGAGAGTGTTATGCATTTTATTATGACAATCTGATACAGAAATCAAATCTGAATATTAAATGTAATGCACAATTGTCTTGAGTCGTTAATGTAGCAAGCGTGATTGCAGACAGAGTTGGGGGTTACGCATTACAAGTAATGCGAGTTACGTACAAGTAAAGTAACGCATAAAATTTACAAGAAAATATCTGAGTTACTTTTCCAAATAAGTAATGCAAGTAACTTTGTTTCCCCATCTATTCACTCACATCTCTCCTGTCCCCCATGTTGAGAGAAATTGGGAGTGAGAAACAAAGGCAGAGGCACTTCCTTTAGCCTGAGGCTTAGTAATTTCACTTTTGGTGTGAAAGGGCCTTTACAGTTGCCAAAAAAATTACTTTTGGGGTTTTTGTTATTAAAAATAAACAATTAAGCCCATCCCAGGTGACAAAACGGAATGCAAAAGTAACGTAAAGCATTACTTTCCATAAAAAGTAACCAAGTAACACAATTTTAGTTACTTTTTTATGCAATATTGTAATGCATAACTTCCCCTAACACTGATTGTAGGTAACACACAAAGGCAACCAAATCCTATTTATGTATCAAAAGTTAAACAAAAAGAATTCATCTTATCCCTTACATTCTCAATTTCAGTAGTTACCTTTAAGGACTGGTTGTATTAATTAACCAATTGAAACCAGCTAAAAAACAAACAAACAAACAAATATTAATACGTAGAGGACCAGAAACATTAAGCCATTTTTGAGAAAAACTCTAGCATCATTTATTTGTTGTATGTGGCATTATGGGTGTACAGGGCGAGCCTGAATGTGCAAAACTAATGTCGGGCAAACAGGTAGTAATTACCTGAGCAGGTTAGACAGCATAATGTACTTTTGAAAGTCATTTTCTTTCACATATGAGATTGTTGCCTAACCACAGTAAAGAAAACAGTGTAAAAATACATCAAAAGAATATGTGTATGTTTGTCTTTGTGTGAGTTCATAAGAGTTCAAACAGGGACTTCTACATGTGTTGTAGTCCTCTGTGGTCTGAGATTATGTTCCATGGGCCAAAGCTAATTAAATCCAAACCTATCCTGAACAGATTATTAATCCCAGAAGAGAACACTGTGCCATTCTCTAAGCAACAGGTGGGGGAACTTCACTAATGATCAAGGCAAATTAAAAGAACACATAGAAACAAAACATAGAAACAATCTTCAACACGGAACACTCTAGCTACACTAGCAACCACCTATAGGAACATGCTAAAACCCACTCAGAACAACTGCATACAGTAGCAGTAACAATTCCAAGAAGTAAAAGTGCACTTCAAATACCCAGATGATGCACTTAACTGAAAAAAAAGAAGTGTGGAATGTTGGACACTCACACACTCAACAGCTTTCCTTACATAGTAGAAAGACAGAGACTGTCAGAATCTAATGTCTGATGCAGAAAAGCTAGTTCATGCATTCATGACCTCTAGACTGGACTATTGTAATGCACTGCTAGGTGGTTGTCCTGCATCTTCAATAAACAAGCTACAGGTAGTCCAAAATGCAGCGGCTAGAGTCCTTACCAGGTCAAGAAAATATGATCATATAGAGGAGAACTGGCACCCCGACTGAGACTGGTTTTTCCCAAGGTTTTTTCTCCATTCTGTCACCGATGGAGTTTTGGTTCCTTGCCGCTGTCGCCTCTGGCTTGCTTAGTTGGGTACACTTCATTTCCAGCGATATCGTTGACTTGATTGCACATATACTATTTAAACTGAACTGAGCTGAATGAAGACATCACTGATTCAATGATGAACTGTCTTTAACTGGAAAATTAGTGTTTACTATTGTCATTTTGCATTATTGACACACTATTTTCCTAATTAATGCTGTTCAGTTGCTTTGACACAATCTGTATTGTTAAAAGCGCTATATAAATAAAGGTGACTTGACTTGACTTGACTTAATGCTGGATGACAAAATAACATCAAATTCATACACTAGATAGACAATGCAGGGTATAAGTGTGTAGCATATAATGCATAATTTGGGACATGTCTTGCATCTTCCAACATGTTTTGCACAGACAAGTACCACTCATATTAAAATCGAGTTAATTTGTAGTAATTGTTTCAGGTTCAAATTTCCCTGGCATGCTTAATTTCAAGCAATTCAGCTAAATGAATTAAATAAAGATAAATCTGGGCCACAGGGAACCACGTTGGTGGGCCTCACATAGGCAGAGCTGCTTGTCAAAATCTTTCAGTCTTTAGAAGAGCGTAATTCACGGGTTTTGGGAAGATTCAGAGCACACTTCAGCTCTCTGAAGGGTTTAATTCAATTGTCCCACTTCACGGTTAGTCAGTATTCGATATCCATTCAGGATGATAGTCATGGTGTATAAAGATTGTTAAAACGTGGAATCTTATTTGTGAGGAGACAAAAAAAAAAAAAAACGCACACACACAAACAGGCAATGCTGTCACACACCCTAAAATAAGCTTACGGCCATAGAAACACTTCCAGCTACAGGTGTCTAAACTTCTGAGTGGAAACTGGAAAACAAATTTCCTCATACAAACCACCCACAAAAAAGACCTTAAAACAGGGAGTAGAGAGTTTTAATGAACTTTCTTGAATAGGAATCTTCAAGATCGTGGGGGTGTTTTCAACATAACATCTGTCCCATGTTGGTCCTTTGTCCAGCAAAAGTGAGCAAGGTTTTGTAAGACACCAAGGGTTCAATAATACAATGGCTGCCTTCACTCAGCGAATAGCAGAAGAGCAGACGGACAGAGCTTTGATGCTGATTGGCCGAGGGACACAATAAGTGTAGACAGAAGACTTATGGGACGGCGAGTGGACACAAAGGCCCGCGCTAGCAGACAGCAGCTGCCGCGTGTGCAGATGCTGTGAGGGTGAACTCTGCTGTGATTTTAGCTGACAAAAGAGTCGGACATGTCTGTGTCAACTTCTGTAATCCTGCTTAGAGACTCGTCTCAATCGCACACTCCCATTTGCAAGTTTGAGTGAGTGACACACACAAATATATACACATAAACTGCCATTCAAAAGTTTAGGGGCAGTACATTTTTTAATGGTTTTGAAAGAAGTCTCTTATGCTCACCAAAGCTGCATTTATAAGTTAAAGTAAAAACAGTAATATTGTAGAATATTATTACAATTTAAAATGATTTCTTCTAATTAAAATAGTTTATATTTTAATGTAATATAAATGTAATTTATTCTTGTGATGGCAAAGCCAAATTTTCAGCAGCCATTACTCCTGTCTTCAGTGTCACGTGATCCTTCAGAAATCAATCTAATATGCTGAGAACATTTCTTATTATTATCAGTGTTGAAAAAAATTATGTTGCTTTTTTCAGCATGAATGGAAAGTTCAAAAGAACAGCATTTATTTGATATTGTAATATTATCAATCTTAGTGACCCCAAACTCTGTAAATATTACAAATGGTAATGTATACAGAATATTAACATATCTCTTCAGATGGTCTAAATACAGATTAAAAATCATCTCTAAACACTTGATAGTGACAATGAAAACAGCGACCAGCTGAGACAGGCCCAGGCATGCTGGTGTCATGCTTGTGAACTTTGACCTCAGACACAGAGAAAACAAATGACTTCAACAGCATTATCGACTAAAACACTCTTTTGATGTACACAAAGTGAATTTAAAGGAATAGTTCAACAAAATATACATATAATGGACAGTCAGTTGGATCATTATCTCTGACAGGGTGATCTTGTATCATCCCGAAGGTGTTTATTTTTGGATAACAACACTGTTGACTGTATGCGTGTTGGTTAAACTCGTGCTCATGGAGTCAGTGGTTGATGGGAAGGAATATTGACAGGCGTAAAGCTCCAGCTCAAGGTGAGAGCCGACAAACAGGCAGATCTCGTGCCTGGTTACCTACTGATCCACAAAGCTACTTTTAGTGTCTACATGCACCTGCACAGCCAGTGTTAGCTCTAAAACCTTGACATTAGTGGCACAGAGCCAGAGTTAACATTCAAACCGCTTATAGACATTCAGGAATCTGCTCGGCTGGGAACTATGATAGAAATGTTTGTAGCAAGGCAATATTTGTCTGCCCGCCTGTTTGCAAACCGGATTAAAACAAGCAAGCATGCTACTAACACAATAACGCTGCCAGTTTTTAAGGGAAGAGGAAGCTGCAGGTAAAGAGTGCAACAGGCCACCGGCTTCTTCCCCTTATAACCTCCAAACCCTCTCTTAAGAGGCTTGTTTAAGCAACAAAATTACATTAAATGACATTCCACCAGCTGATCTGCTTACTGTCACAGTGTTCCAGCTGTATTTTGAATTTTGAAGATCTTTACTGACATTGATGGTTCCAAGAAGAATTTTCAAAATCCATGGAAATTTCCACTACACAAAAGGTTCTTTAGATTATTGAAATGTGCCTTTTGTTAAGAAAATAATGTTTCTTTTAATGTTTCTTAACAAAAAATAAATATAGATGCATTGAATGTACTTTATGATGATCCCAGAGATCCAGAACCGAAGACCAGAGAAAATGCAGAAAAGGAAAGCAGACTTGGAGACAAGAAGTCAACAAGCTGGCCAGCAATTTATCATGAAGCTACAGCCACCATCTGTCTAATCAAAGAGCTATCAATCAAACGAAGAGCAGGACAAACCAACCCCCTCCATACGCTTCATCCACCCTGATACCGTCCATCTAGACTGACGCCATCTGTATGTCTACATTTCAATCTCTCTCTCTTGCAGTTTCTGACTCAGTGGAGCTAATGTTTATGCTGCATTGAATGTGACACACTGCACTTCCTGTCTGTTAAATAAAGTGTGACTGAGATCAATTGGATCAATGTCAGATTAACATCACTGTGCTTTACGAAGTACTTTGAAAGCAGTTCATATCCCATGACCCAAGCGCTTTTAAAAAGCCAAAGTTCTCAAGTTACTTGTGCATCACAGTTTTATGGTCACATTCTAGCAGTATTTATAACAAAGGAGTGTTATGTACTGCATCTGATTTGGTGTATTTCGGCGTGACCATGCTCAGGGTTACTCTAAGGTCTTACCTGTCCTCGATGTGATCAAACAGATGCTGCCAGCGTTCGTTGATGTCCTTGATCTTGTCATTGATTTCTGTTTCTTTGGTCTTGTTGCTAGCAGTGATGAGTTGTTCTCCCAGCTGTTTCAGATGTGTCTTATTCTCACTAAAGAGGTTGATCTCCTCCATACAATCCTGAAGAGAGTCAATATTTGAGTGTAAGTGGGCGAGGAAAGTAATAATGATTCATATTTTGAGAGTCATACTCTTGTTGTTTGTTTGCTTACAACATTAGATGAAACAGGAAATTTAGCAAGAAAATGAAAGCAAATAAATGTGGAATAAATATTCGTTTTGCTATTTAGGTTTAGCAAAATACAGTGAAATGCTGGATCAGACAGTACAGTGTATCTGAGGTGGTTTATGCTGGGTGATCGAAGAGCTTTGTCTCACCTTCTTGAGTTTCTCCACCATTTCCTCAATGCTCAGCTCAGCACTGTGTGCCACCTTGTTTTCCATCTGTGTCAGCCATTCACACAGCTCCCGATTCTTCTCATTGAAAATGATCCAGGCATTCAGTCGATCAGCAATCTCCTGCTTACGAAGTGACACCTACAGAGAGATAGAGACATAAAATACATAAGAGATATGACAGCAGTGCAGCTCACACAGAAAGGGAATCTCACTAAACCTGTCAAAAAGATGTGCAGACCATATTTCTCACTAAAATCAAAAGAAAAACATAATATGTTTTTCGCATTTTGGCAATAAAGAATAGACACAATTCTGAGTACCATAATTTTATAAATAAAAAAAAATACAAAAAAAAAAAAAATAATAAATAGTAATAAATAAACAGTATTAATTATGGAAATATTGTTGTACTGCCTTTATACTGATTTTAAAAACAATTACAGCAAATGTTACTGCATTAAATCTAATGAATCAACACTGAGAATACATGGAATTACAATTATATATATATATATATATATATATACAGTATATATATAGTTAAATGTGATCTTACAGTATAGATATGTTTTTGTGACACCTGAACACAATCAATTAATAAAATTAGTCTCAAATTATGTGAACTCAGAATTTAACTTAATAAATTTAATTTAAAGAGACTCATAATATACTCAGGCTCATAATGGGGAAAATAAAAACATTAATTCTCTTCTCTTTTCAAGTTTATGGCAAGGCAGGGTAATGCAATTTTGTTACAAAGGACCCATATATGTGTTTAAAGATCTCCAGCCAAAACATCTTTATGAACCTTGTCACTAGAAAGTTTTAAAATCCTGAAAACTCAACAGCTGCCACATGTGGACTTCACCGTTACCAGGCAACACCTCCACACCCCCCCACAGACACACACTCACACTCCGGCGTGTGACAGACACACACTGAGAGTGATTTCCAAAACAAAGAGCTAAAGACTCCTGCTTCTATTCACTTCTGTGTGTCTTTTCTCTGTGTCCTTCACTCGCTACCATCTGCTCTCTCGTTCCAGTGTTAAAGACCCCCACCCACCCCAAAACTCACACCAGACCCCCAAAACATGACGCCAGGAGACTCCAGCTGATTGATCCAGCACCATATTCATTAAAAACAGCAGCAAGACCCTAATATGAGTGATGCATAGGTTCTGAAAGTAAATCAATACATGGTCACCAGAACAACATACATCAAGGAACTTCACAGGAACAATGACTCCAGCTGAATCAATGAGCACTGATGAGAAAACATTAAACAAATCCTCACATCTGTTTTTGGGTAGTGATGGTGTGCTAACATTGTATTTAAAATAGATGGAATTCCTTTGAGCATGTCGTCTGTGTATGTACTGTAGGTTTATTTAGCAGTATAGCTGGAGACAAAACTGTCTACAAAGGTTAAATATAACAAAACACCCCTTGGTAACACTTTAGTATAAGGACCAATTCTCACTATTAACTAGTTGCTTATTAGCATGCCTATTATACATAATGACTGTTTATTAGTACTTATAAAGCACATTCTGCATGACCATATTCTACATCCCTAATCCTACCCAATGCCTAAACTTAACAACTACCTTTACTATCTATTAATAAGCAGCAAATTAGGAGTTTATTGAGGCAAACGTCATAGTTAATGGTTTGTAAATAGCAAAAATTAGACCTTAAAATAAAGTGTGACCCGTTCTCAAAAGTAACATGTTTAATAAATGAATGAATGAAAAAAAAAAAAAAATTTCATTAATGTTTAATAATTTAGATAAATAAATAGTTTTAATAAAAGCTAATAAATAAGTTATCTTTAAAGTGTAGATTTTTAGTTTGGGTTAGGTTTCACTCAGTAATTATAATTAACTTTAGAAAACAACAAAAAATGGTATGCCTTCATTTAAGATATCTGTAGGTAAACACGTGTTTTCAAATAAGCAAAGTGTTTCAAAAAGCATGTGTTTTAAAAAGCAAATGTTGCTAAGTATCTACACCTTAAACTACATACAAATAATACAGATTCATTCATTATCTTTTACTGTTAAATATTTCCTTAAACTTCTCACACACTACGGTTTATCAGTCAGCTCAATGTGTTAGAGCTGTCAATGTTTAGACACATGATTCCTGTAGGCTTTATATTTGCTCTGTTTCCTCCTAGTTCATCTAAACGTCTAAAGCATAAAATACATAAAGTCACTGCTATGTCTGCTAGGTTAACATATTTGTGTGTCTTACTTTGAGGCAGAGCTCTTCCCACTGGCAGTGCAGATGGTCCACTTGCTCCTGCAGGAGGAGGACGTCATCGGTGAGGATGTACTGGGACAGGTCCGTCTTCATGGTGCTGAGCTCGGAAAGACTGACGGCCCAATCCTTTAAACAATCCTGAACCTCCTGCATAACATAACACACCACCGTCACACACACTCACAGAAAACACTGACACACGTCCCAGCTCTGACTCACGCAATCTCTCTCTCTTTTACCCTGTGGCCCAACGAGATTAAAGCCCATGGGACAAAGAGGGAGGGCAGGAGAGAGAAATAGAGGGAGGAAGGAGGATCACAGCTGAATAAGCCTATAGCAGGGAGGAAGGGAAATCCTAAGTGTCATGCAACACAAACAAAAGCTATTATGTGTGGTTTTAGCACAAGCTAAAAGCTAACTTTCACCATAGATGCTTTTAACTTTACCAAACACCATAACTGTTGAGGTGTGTTTTGAGTACAGTATTTATCAGTATTTTATTTTGGTTCTGTTGCTCTTTTATAGAAAAAGTAGGTAATTCTTTACCCCCAGTCATATTTCAGGTGTATTGTTCCTGTAATATGTCAGTCAACAGTATATGAAGCAGTTCACCTTTTAGAGTTAGTGTACCTTCACAAGGAGGCGTTCCTCTTCCATCTCCTCCTGCTGATCTGGGATCGACTGCTTCAGTTTGGCTCGTACCTCATCCAGGCTCTGCACCTGATCAGCTAGTCTGGTCTCACAGGTCTCCCATTTCTGCAAAATAATTTTAAAAACATACAAATAGAGGCTCCTATAATGCTCTAGCATGATTTTGATATAATAGCTTATATAAGCCTCTTTATATGGGGATGGAGTTATCATTAGTCAGGAAAAGCAAAAATAATGCAGAGAAAACAAAGACAGCTTATATGTGAGGGTAGATCTGTACACACAAACATATGGACAGGTGTCCAGACATCCACTGTGGAAGGTCAGTGTGCACTACATTAAACCAATGTCTCGGCTCAGAGACAAATGAAAAGTTAAGACACGACTAGGGGCAATGAAAACACACATGCATGCACAAACACACACCAGTGTGGGGTTATCACAACAACACACACGCATCTACATGCTAATACTGTACACACATATCACATATACAGCATAATACAAGTAAAACCATATTATAATCCCACATACTGCACAGAGGAAACTCCCAAGAATATGGCACAATGTTGCAGTGCACTGGCATTCATTTTATAAGGTGTTGCATGAGAAATGAAGACAGACAAAGTACTGTGAGAAAGAGAGAGACAGAAAGGCTGAGACAGACAGGGAGAGCTGTAAATCCCTAGACAGGCTTTACTATAAACCCTTTAGCACATGACAAGTGCATACACTCATCAACACACACACACTGGTTTCCATGTTTTATAGGGACATTCCATAGACATAATGGTTTTTCTACTGTACAAACTGTATTTTCTATCCCCTTACCCTAACCGGCCTAAACCTATGCCTCACACAAAACTTTCAGCATTTTTATATTTTCAAAACACTTTATTCTGTATGATTCATAAGCTTGTTTCCTCATGGGGACTTAAAAAATGTCGCCACATGGTCAAAATTTACTGGTATTACTAACTATACTTTTGGGGACTTATTGGTCCCCATACCGTAGTGAATACACACACACACACACACACTGCCTTTGTTTTCTGTGTCTTCATATTATCTAAACTACAATCAAGGCTAACTATGGATGAGAAGCAGAGAAACAGATATATTGCGACAGAACAAAGACTTTTTAATACTTTTCAGGTCAGTAACACTGATATTAATATTATGTGCTTGTATGTTTGTGTATTAGTGTGTGTAAAGGTCTGATTCTGGATTAGTCCAGCTGTGGAATCAGAGGGAATGTAGGTCAAACACAGCTGGACTCATTCCTGCAGAAAACCACCATAATACAGAATATTCTACACACACAATCCAACATTTAGTGTTGTCCTGCATCATTCTAGAATGGGAGTATATAATGGCAGAGTTTATTCCTGGTGAAGTTTTAGACAGGTCCATACACGGACAGACAGTGTTTGTTCTCTGAAGCATCTCTGAACATAAGATTGACAATCCATAACCAGCTGTTTACTATCTAAGCTGCTATTTCTTATCTAATCATAAAATCATATCAAATCATAAAATTCCAAGGGCAAATTTCACTTTGCAGTAGCCTGTTTTGTTATATAAACTTTACCCTCATAAATGCTGATATGCAGATATGTAGATATAAATGATATCTGGCATCTATAAAATACGTTTCTATTTGTTCATAATTACAGGATTTCAAAAAAAAAAAATTTCTATTAGAAAATATTTTACAGCTGAGCATCAAAAAATTGTACATGTATATACTGTATATCAGTTTTTTTCCTGGACATCTCCCTGACTTCTTAACAATTAATTTCCCAGGTTTAAAAGTCACAAATTTAAAGTTGCCTAACGCTTCCACACTTCCATGATCATGAGAATCCTGTTTTAGAAAAAAGCCTAACACACTCACATAGCTTTATGGATTTCCCATGTGACCTTTGACCTTCAACATAAGGATAACGATAAATATTGTGACATTATCATAAGTTTACCTTGTAAATGCAACAGAGCCAAGCAATAAAACACAAGAGTTAGTTCATTCAAAGGTCCCTTTTAAAACCCAATCAATCAATCTTACTTTTACGATGTCAGATGTGAGAGTCTTTCTCTTTCCCAGCATGCACTGGCATTGCTCCCAGTCCTCCTGCAGGGCTGCCAGGTCTGTCTGCAGCTGCATCTGCGTCTGTGTGTCACTCACTGAGAATAGCTGCCTGCCTACCTCCATCACACACAGATACGCAGAGACTGACCTTTGAAACAACAGCTCTGTTCGCTTTACAGGGACAGAGAGAGAGAGAGAGAGAGAGAGTGAAGGGGACAGACAAAAAAGAGAGAGGGAGAAATGGTAAAAAAAAACCTGACTCTTTTGTCACTAACAATTGCAAGCTAGGTGTCAATAGATTAAATTATAAAGTGTAAATATAGAAAAAAGTCAATTAATTCACTTAATAAAAAAATTATGAATATGAAATATTTGTAAATATTTCCAGGGCAATAAGTGTTTGACGTATTATATTTGAACATATAAAATTGATAGAAATGTATATGCAATTATTTTAGGTGTTTTAGGTGTGTATAAAAGTTTGGGATTTAGAGATATTCATATTTTTATTCAGCAAAGATCAAAGTGGCAGTAAAAACATAATCAATTTCAATAAATGTTGTTCTTTTGAATTTTCAATACAAAACTCACAGTTTCCACAAAAAGATTAAGCAGCACAACTGAAACAGTTTTCAACACTGATAATAATACGTTTTTTTTTTTTTGCACCAAATCAGCATACTGCAATGACTTCTGAATGATCATGTGACACGGAAGACTGGAGTGATGATGCTGAAAATACAGCTTTGCCATCATAGGAATAAATCACATTTTAAAATATATTAAAATAGAAAACAGTTACTTTAAATTATAACAATGTTTTACAATATTAGGCTACTGTTTTTAAAGTATTTTAATCAAATAAATGCAGCCTTGGTGAGAGTAAGAAACTGTGAGTTATACAATATCTTCATCATTGATGATAATGATATTTGAAAATAATCTTGTTACCTTCAGATCTTCCAGCAAGAGGTGCAACTGCAGGACACTACAGTGTGTGGGACCAGCAGGCGACAAGAGTGTGTGTGTGAGTGTGAGGAGTTTGCGGAGTTTCTGCATTGTGTGTGTATAAAGCTGCCAGTGCTGTATGAGCCCTTCCACTAGAGCACGCCGTTGAGCTGCTCTCTGCACCGCCCCCTGCCAGTGCTCTCTCAGCTGTGCCAGTTTTAACAGGAAGTCACCCCTGAGGGCACAGGCAAGGTGATTAGTAAAACTACAAATCCTGTGTTGAATTCCAAATATAAAACTTATAAGTGTCAACTTAACATTTATAAAAGTAGGACATTTCATGACAAAATGATAAAATACTATATTACACTATGTTTCAAAAGTTTGGGGTCAGTACAATTTCTTTAATGTTTTTGAAAGAAGTCTCTTATGCTTCCTAAGGCTGCATTTATTTGATCAAAAATACATTAAAAACAATAATATTGTGAAATATTATTACAATTTTAAACAACTCCTTTCTATTTTAATATATTTTTAAAATGTAATTTATTTCTGAAATGGCAAAGCTGAATTTTCAGCATCGTTACTCCAGTCTTCAGTGACACATGATCCTTCAGAAATCATTCGAATATGCTGATTTGGTGCTCATGAAACATTTCTCACTGTTATCAATATTGAAACAATATTAAAGTTTTTTTTAACATTATAAATGCCTTTACTTTCACTTTAATGCAATTTAATGCATCCTTGCTGAATTAAAGTCCTGATTTCTTAAAAAAATCATACTGACCCCAAACTTCTGAATGATATTGTGTCACAAGCAATCATGCAAAACAGAGATTGAAAAAACCCCCAAAACATGTTGAGAATCGTCACCTGTCCTCCACATCTCCCTTCTGCAACAGGAGGAGAGATTCACTGATCACAGAGTGAAGGATCTGATGGCCTAAAGACAACTCAGCCTGAAAACACTAGACGAAAAGGAGAGAGAAGATAGATTTTTATTGGATCTATTATCCATATGTGTTGCATTTGGGGGTGTGTCAACTGTTGTACCTGGTGCGTTCGTTGTTGTTCTCTCAGTCCAGGGTAAGTTGATGCGATTTCTACAGCCAAACTGTCCTCCATGCGCTGTAGGAAAGCCAGCCAGCTCTCACATCTCTGCTCAAAGCTCTGCTGCTGGAGAGAGGCTGCCTGCAACTCACTAAACACACAATATACACATAAACATGTAATATGCTTTGTGTTGAATCCGATACTAGTATCTTTCTCAGGTGATCAGATTGTAAGTCCTAGTCACCTGCATTTCTCCTGAGCATGTGCGGAGGCCTGTGCCCACTTCCTGTTGAGGTGCTGAAGCCTCTGTGTGACAGGGTCACTGAGGGTCAGCCTGTAGCTGAGTGTGTTTATCAGATCCAGATCAGGAGAGAGAGAACTGACCTCCATCAGACCTGACTGTAAACAAGGAAATACAGAAACTATTAATAATGGGGATTTCTTAAATAAAATGATGTGGTTGAGTTATGCATGTGTTTTTATCACCTGAGATATATCTGTGAGTTTGCTGTCTATCCGTTGCTTGCTTTCCCACTGCTGTAATTGTGTTTCGAGGGACTGGAATAACCTTTCAAATTCTTGAAATTGCTCAAGATCCTCCTGAACAGACACACATGTTTTGAATTAAAGGAATAGTCAAAAATTCTGTCATCATTTACTCACCCTCATGGTTTTTTTTTTACAGACTACTATTATGATACTTAATGGTGCTATTATTGTGGGGGGTTTTTTGGTCATTTTTGGAACTTGACAACAACAGATGAGTTTTGAAAGAAATGAGAGAGAGTATATACTTCAAACACTTCCATGCTTATTAAAACACAGAGGAGTGTAAGTCTTACCTGCATGTGTTCAATTCTTCCTTTCAGAGTCTGTTCTAACTGCAGGTAACCATGTGTTAACAAACGGCATTCTGATCTGATGAAAACAGCTTCCTCATCATCCATCTGTTCAATCAGATCCTTAGATACTTCAAGCACTTCATTCAAATCAGTCTGTTGAGTCTCTGAGCATTTCTGTAATACCTAAAAGAAGGAAATAAGGACAATAACATAGTCTGTGACATTTACTGTAATGGAGTCCAAAAGTCTTTTGCATTTTGTCTTAATACTTTTATTATTATATTATATAATATATTTTTTTATAGACTCTGACATGATTCTGCACTATTTATAGGTCAGTAATCAAATAATTAAAAGTAATATTATATTGTAATATATTGCCTGTTTGATTACTTATCTAGAAATATTGCATAATAATTTCCTCTTCCTTTTACATCATAACTTTGTGTTACATCATCACATCATTTTCATTGTGGTCTGGACCCCACTTAAGTGTGTGTGTTTAAATGGATGGTTACCTGTGAATATCTGTGTCTTTGTATTGTACTCACAGTCTTCAGCTCTGCGATGCTGTGTGTGAGTTGTTTATTGTCAGCGGGTGTTTTGGTGTGTGTGTTGAGCTGCTCTTTGAGATGTTGAAGCTGCTCTGAGCAGGAGCGTCTCACATCAGAGTATCTCTGCCACACTTTCAGAAGACGGTGTGACCTCTGCAAGGTGTGGGTGACCTTTTCCTTCACCTCTGACCACCTACAGGGTGACACAACGTGTAGGAGCTTGAACATTTACATACACATTCGCATTGCTTTGCTGGTATGTGTGAAGTCTAACCTTGCTTTTTCTTTTTCTAGGTGCTCCGATAACACCTGGGCAGAGTCTGGGCTAATTCCACCAATAAGAATTTTTGTTGTCTTGGTAAGAACCTCCCACTGGCTGTCAATTTCCTTTGTCTCTGCTTTTAAGACCTGCAGATATAATTTGTGAATATATACATTATAATACATATCTCCGTCAAGCCAAAGGTTTACTTTTAAGTTAACAAATTTGACACATTTAAAAAAAATGCAATAATATATCACATATTTAAATTCAACAAAATATGTCATACTGTGACCAATCAGAAATAGCTTGGGAATAAAAAGACAATGTGGTTGATTGACAGCACCTGTATCTTATCAATGTTGTTCTGGAGGGAAGAGAGGGAGGGCAGAGGGGCGTGGCAGTACTCTAGTGATTGGCAGAGCCTCATTGTGTTTAAAACTGCCTGACTCCTCCCACTTTCAAACTGAGACCACACCTTACACAGCTCTTCCAAGGTATCCCCAAGGACTGTACTCTAGAAAATGAACATTTATTATTAAATTCCTAATTAAACACACTCAAGAGTGTTTATAAATATTTGTTGGTTTTGTTTTAATCCACAGGACCATGTCTCCATACCTGTTGAGAGAGGTCAGTCAAAGATTGTGAAAGATTGTGAGCTTTTGAGAGGAAGTCTTTATCCCTGTCTTCTTCATCAGTGGTAAGTCTCCTCTTCCTCAACTCAGCAAGTTCTGAGAATTTAGACTTCAACTTTTCCCCCAGCTCCTGAGAATGAAAGAATGACAAGTAAACTTCCTCTAAAATGTAATATAAATAAATTCCAATAAATAAAAAAAAAGCTTTTTGAAAGCTTTTAAAGTAGGTGAGCATTAACATAATCAGTTACCACAACCAGAAAATATCAGCCACTCACTTCACAATCCTTCAGGCTCCTCTCAGCAAATGAGCGACTGATGGGTCTTTCAGCCAATCGCATCCATTGTTTTTGACCTTTGACCCAGCACTGTAGGATTTGTAGTTTGTTATCTCGCTCTGCACACATCTTCACCTCATCTTCAGCATGTTGGATCTGAGAAACACAATGCAAACCATGTTAATCTGAATTGGTTAGCGGAATAATAATAAATAATAATAATAAATTCACCAGTGTGTTCAGGTGAGCCTGTAGAGTTTTCCAGCGCAGATTGACGTGTCCCAGGTTTTCAGCAAATGCAGTGTGTTTGTACCTGCTAGTTTGAGAGTCAAAACCAACCTGCTTCAGCTCACACTGATTAATAAAGTCAACAGACATCTGCTGACATGCCATCTCTCTCTTCATCCCCTAGACAGAAAGAGAATAAGAGAGGTATGACCAAAACTATATATATATTTTTTAATTTGCAGAAAAACAACTTTACCATCAGTAAATTAAATAAAATTGTGTTCTGTCAAACAAGTCTAAAGAGATTTATTATATAGGGAAAAAGAAAAGTAAGAGTGAAATAGAGAGGGAGAAAGTGATTTTTTGTATTTGCTGAATGTTACTTTCTAAGATTTACTTTGTACTTCACACTTTTTCATGCAGCTAAGCTGCAAACATTTTGGCAATGCAAGTTTACACAGTTGTGTCAAGTCAGTAAAGCACAAACTGAAATTGAAAGAGAAAAGAAAGAGAGGGTTAATTACACTGGCACATTTTTTCTTTAGTTATTTTCATACAGTTTTCCTTTGTGTTATTTATCTAAGCTTTATAAGTGTACTCTGAATTATATTTTATTTCAATATTGTTTCTTACTTTATACAACTCTTTAGCTCTGTTTTAAGGCAAAAAAAATTGGCAATGCAAATGTATGATTTTAATGCTAATAAACCACAATAAATTGAAAATGTAATGAAAGAGAAAAGAACTGTTCAATTATTACTAAATTTGTAATGTCTTCCTTTTTGTTATATTTGTACTTTATACAATTTATTTTACTATAACTGAATAAATTACTTTCAGATTTTTAGTTACTTTTATAATCATTTTATTCACATATATGTGCTGATTTCTTTACAATTTGTTATTTTTACAAGAAAAAACAATAATCTGTTATTTTGCACTGTTGATTAATTTTGGATAAAATAAAATCCAAATCGAAGATAATTATTTTATTTGCTAATTACTGGAAAAAAAAATTTATTGATAGAGAGATAAAACACAAGCAAGGTACCTGATATGTTCTGAGCAGGTGTGTGAACTCTGCAGCAGTACAGGTGTTGTGACCCTCTCGTTCAGCCGCCTGTAACCTGCTCTCAGCACCCGTAATCCAGCCACACACATCAGCCAGCAGTCCTTCAGGAGATAGCCTCTCCACCACACTCTGAGAGAGAGAAAGAGAACAGAGAAATGGGCATAAAGAAAGACGAAAGTGATAGACAGAGGTGGAGAGAATAGAGAAGAAAGAAAACAGTGGAGCCGGGTGAGGGATGACACATGTAATCAAAGAAGAAAGAGAGACCTGATAATGGATAATAACTCTATTCCTCAAAGATTTCATCAACTTCTCAGTAATACAGGAAATCATGCCTGGATAGCGCCTGACCTCCATGATAAATTTTTATACATCATGTTCTCCTTCAGAGAGACAATGCTCCAAACAGAAGAACATGAAACTGACAGGTTTTTATTTCCAACCATCCAGGATGTAGTTAGTAATGGAGTAAAATGTACCTGATGCAATTCCTGTTGGACGACAGGAATATGTTTCTGTATTTCCACCCAGTCTTGCTCCACCTGAGACAGCTGGGACTGTAGAGTAAGAAGAACTGGGGACAGAACCATCTCTTGTTTTACAGATAAATCGAATACAGATGAGGTTGGTTCCTCAAAGAAAACACCTTCATTTGTGATCTTTCCATCTGATTCTTCCGTGGTAGAAAGATTTTCTTCTGAGAGGATGTTTTGAATAGAGGAAAAATTGGTTTCTGAAGGTAAGGTGACATCTACAGATGAGGAGTCTTCAGGGTTGTTATCTAGGACAATGGAGGTCTGGTTGCTAGTTTCACTTGGCTGTAGGTCTTCAGAGGTTGTTGTATTTCCAGAGGGAGTGGAGGTTCTTGGAGCACTGGTGGTTCTGCTGATCTTCTGTGTCTCAATGTTCTGCTCTCTTTCATTGAGCAACAGGATCAAAGATCCAGAACTGATCACTGATGCCTTTAGAGCCGATTTCACCTCTAGCTCCTTCATGAACTCCTGTGTCAAAAACATCACAGATACAAAGATGTCCTAATATAACCAGTGTTGTAATCATTAAAACTAAACCTATTTTAATTATTTTCATTAGTTGAAATTAATATTAATTTAACTTGCATAAAAGAAGGTTTCCCTGTTGAAAAAGCAGCATATGCTGGTTAGGTATGTTTTGAAGCATGGCAGCCGGTCATGAGCTGGTTTAAACTGGTCATGTGCTGGCCAGCAACTAGCTCCTGCTCAGGACCAGCTCATAACCAGCTTATAACCAGCTCAGGACCAGCGTAAACCAGCTCATGACCAACTAAGGACCAGCTTAGACCAGCTTTAACCAGCTCAAACCAGCTGCCATGCTTCAATTACAGGTATGCTGGTTTTTTCAACAGGGTTTGTGTAGCTTCTGTAAATAGTCATTAAGTTTTTAATTATTTTATTGTTCAAAATCATCTTAACTAAAAACGAATGATTAGAATCACTGGTTGACTGACTGTGAAGTGCTGAAAATGGGAGAGGGTGTCCGCTTCCTGTTCAGCTGTGGTCATGTGATCTCTCCATGTATGAAGGCGCTCTCTGGCTTGTCGCATCCACTCATTCAGAGCCTCTGAATCGTTTTGGTACCTGGAAAAAAGTGTAGTGGTAATTCTTTATATTTTTCCTTTGTGTGAATTTTGAGCATTTTTTTATTTTAAAAGACTGAGATCGCATATAATTCTGCACATTGTGTAATGAAATGGCAAGAATTATTTCAGAGTGAAAACTCTGGTTGACTTAATTTTACCCACATCATTCATTTTTACCTTTTCCAAAGCTTCTTAAGATGGTGGGTGGGGGGTAGTCCTTGCTCCACCCTCCTCTGAAGTGCAGCCAATCTCTGTTCCAGTTTTGCTGTAGACACACCCACTATGCATATAGGCACACCCACATCACTACTAGAAATCTGCTCCTGCTGTCTGCGGCCCTCATCCAGAACCAGACTGATCCGAGCTCTGTTCTTCTCCAGAACCGCCAGCACACTCTATCACAAACAACAAGAATTCAAGGATCTTCAAAAATGCATGCATTCTGTTTTAAAGGTATACATATATGTGTGTCAGTTCACTATATATAAGTCTAAACCATTACCTGATAGACAGAAATATTCTCGCTGAGCTGCTCCTCAGTTTGGTCCTGCAGAGGTGTTATGGGAAGTTGAGTCTCTAACCTTTGCAGAAGCGTATCTAACCAGGACTGATTTTCATCCCAGTGAGTGCAAACCTGAAATGCATCAAAGTCCTTATCAAGGGCAGAGGAGTATTTACAAAAAATATATTCAAATCTGCTGTTGGTCATTCAGTCTACAAGTTAATTTATTCATGCACTCATCAATCCCACTTGCTTGTTCTTTTATTTAAACATCAATCTCTTTTCCATTCTTGTATCTTCTTGGCTAATGCAAGTGATGCAATGCACTTTTTAAAAACTGTAAAAAGTGTCATTCCACATGATCTCTTGATTCTTTCGCTCTCGTACCTGCAGCCCTGAGTGCAGCACTGTGCCGAGAGCCTGAGCCTGCTGCAGGACACTGGACACTTGACGTTCAACCTCAGACACTTCAGTCTCCCAGCCAGAGGAGGCGCTGTCTGGCATCCGCACACTCAGTTGCTGCAGTCTCCTCAGGTGGGCACCCAGAGACAGGAAAAACGCCTATAGATTTACAAAGTTAGGGAGGTGAATGAGAGATTGCAGGACCTGTAATGGTGCTATAATGTGCATGATTCATGTGTGATGTAATGTATATTTGTTTTTGTTTTTTTTGTATTTGTGCAGCTGATTAATTTGTGTGTGTATTTAGCTAGGATGTTTGAAGGTGTGTGATATGTTTACCGTGTGTGTGTTGAGGTGTGTCTGTATTTGTGCTGGATTCCTGAGCTCCAGCTGAGAGGTGCAGGTGAGTTTCTCTCCTCCAATCGTCAGAAGCATCTGCAGACCCTTCAGGATTTTTTCACTCATCTTCTGCTCATCTAGACTCCACTGCACAACTCCACAGCGCTGCTCTAGATCACTCCAAACACTCTCCAATACCGCCTACAGAGAGTGTATATTACAATTTAATATGTATTTTATTATATTGAGTAAATTCAGACTTTTATTACAATTGTGTCCCATGCATGCTAACAGGAAATGAATTGTAATTTAAAAGACATTTTATAATAAATTCTGAATGCTGCACATCCATACCTCCAGTGTGCTGATCTGCTGTGTGAGGGACGAGGGCTGATCTCGACTCTCTGTATCTTCTTTAAGTTCTGCCAACTTTCTCTCACTCTGCTCCACTTCCCGTTTCCATCCAGTGATGGCCTTCATGTGGAATCACAAATACAGAAAGGTCAAAATCTTAGAGTTTAGGCACAGTGAACACCTAATGCTGTTATACAACATATCTGCACTAACAAATTATGCTTTTCCAATCAAATGAGTGGATCAAAACTAATAAGAAAAACTGTTTCTGGTGCAAGAAACCCTGGCTAGCATTATGAGTGGTTTTCAGAGGAAACATTATAACATATAAAATGCAGAGAGGTGAAGTGGCACCGAAGTCAGCAAATGTACACTGAAGACATCAGTATTTTTTCTTGCAGATACTGTATGTTAAAGAGTATTAGGCCTATTTCTCCAGTAGTGTTTAATCTTCCCACACACTTCCTGATGTGTAACAAGCTGTGTTATTCACAGGCTCGTGTGCTTACCTGCAGCTGTGTGTGAAGGTCATAGTGGGTTTCTCCATTAGTTGTAGGGTAAAGGATTGACGTATTAGTTAGTACTGAGTCATGCAGGTCTTTCACTCTCTTCTGCAGGGTTTGACACACAAGGAAATATTACAAATGAGTCATGCTTGATAAAAAAGGTCAAAATAAAAGTACAAAAGAGTAGACCTTAAACACTCATCTTAAATGCAGAGATAGAATTATGGGATTAAACACGAGACTGAAGAGAACATTATGATGACAAGTTGTTTCATAACAAACAAGTGTGAGTATTTGTGACAGTTATGAAGGCGAGACATCCGAAGGTTTGGGGTGTTAAAACCTGCAAAAATGTAACTGCTGCTGACACACAAATTTTCTGAACCATGTTTCTAGTAGTAACTTAAACTGCAGGAGTATTTTTAAGCGACTGCACACACATCTCATCACTTTGTGTTGGTAATAAGCAGATAAAAGTCTGACCTGCAGCTGAGTCGTGTGTTTTAATCGTTCCTGTAGCTGCTCCTGTTTATCAGCGAGAGTCTTTTGAACGTCACATACCCACTGCCTCAGCAGGTCAAAACAAGTGGAGGTCTCTGATATCGCTGAACCCAAACCTAACAACTTTATGACCTCTGACCCCTGGGAGGTCAATATGGCACCCAAGGAGATCAGCTCTGCAGATAAACCCTATAAATCAGAGAAGAAATTAGAGGTAATGGATAAATGAAGTGACAGACAGATGGTCCGATGGATGGCTGAATACCTGTAGCTGCTCTAATTGGTTTAATATGTCAGTGTTTAAGGTTGCTGGCTGAAACATAAGAGTGTGTGTGAGAGAGTTGAGAGTGAGATCCATTCCACTCAACACCTCAAATAGACCTTCATCCAGAGATTGATGATCCTGCACACAGGCACACAGAAAGATCAGTTAAATATATTTGTTATCAAGCTGGACAGTATTGACTTAATGTGTACTCTTATCTTGAAAAGAGAGTATATGTTATGCTATCTTTTTAAAATGTTATGAACAGTAATCCTGTGTGTTGTGTGTGTTTGTTATTGACACCTTTGTAACTGCTGAGTTTTGCAGTTCTTTGAGTTGTGAGATGTTGGATTGAATCTCCTGGAGACAGAAAGAAACAGTAGCTCCACTCCACAAACACACAGATGGAGCGAGGATCTGTTCACACACACAAATATCACAATGTTCTTTACTTAAAATAACTCCCACATTAAAATTACTACACATGAAACATTAGCAAACAAGAAACTTTAAATAAACATTTGGAGAAAATCAGGAGTGTTCAGACCTCAGATGGATCCTGATCTTTATCTCCACCTGGCTCTGTCTCTGCTGTCTTGGTCAATCTGCTGCAGAGGTGTGTCCACTTCCTGTGGACTGCTGCTAACTCTACTTCCTGTCTTTTGTCTTCATTTGCTGGTGAGGGGCTGCAGACATCATGGAGTGTTATATGGCTACAAAGTCTAGGCATATATTTGTATAAATAAGGGTGTGCATTTAGATACCCTGCATGTTCATCTGTGCTCTGGCTCTGTGTTTGGGCTCTGCTGCCTTGCATTGCAATAGCTTTAGTTAGATCCTTCTGTTCATTCAATCCATGCTCCAGTTCCTTAAACAGACAAAGAAAGACAGTGAGAGAGCCGGTCTCAGTGATAATGATGGACTGATATGACATTTCATAGACTTAGAAGCATTAGAACAGGTTAAAAATCAGTAATGTTTTGTAATTCAGGACATAATTTTCCAGCAGAAGTGTCTGAAACTATAGCTGTCATGGAGTTACATAGTACCTTTATAATATCCAGGTTTTATTGCTAATTAAAAAACCGAGTACATCATTTTTTAAAATATTTTATTTCATTTAATTTTATTTGAACCTGAAATGTGAAATCAAAAATATACACTACTTCAAAAGTTTGGAGTCAGTGGGATTTATTTTAAAATAATTAATAATTTTATTCAGCAGGTTAAACTGATCAAAAGAGACAGTGAAGACATTTATAATGCTACAAAAGATTTCAAATAAATGCTACTCTTTTGTACTTTAAAAGAACCCTAAATGTATAATGGTTTCCTCAAAAATATTAAGCAGAGCTTTTATAATAATAAATGAGTTCTTGGGCACCAAATCAGCATATTAGAATGATTTCTCATGTGACACTGAAGACTGGAGTAATGGGTTGCTGAAAATTCAGCTTTGTCATCAAAAGAATAAATTACATTTTATAATATATTAAAATAAAAAATGTTATTTTAAACTGAAAAAAAGATTTAACAATATTATGGGTTTCCTGTATTTTCCTGTAGTTTTGATCAAATACAAGCAGCCATTAAAAAAATCCTACCAACCCCCCAAAATAAAATCTGCGTTAATGGTAGAGAGTCAGTAGAAATATTGTCAGGGCAAGAAAAAAATCTAATCTGACTATAGGCTAGTAAAAAATCCTTATTGTTAAACCCTGCAGAGACACATTTTTCAAGAAAGGTGAGCTATAACTAATATTTTAAAGTGTGTGAATGAATGTGTGCATTACCCTTTGTTGTTGAAGGCTGCTTTGTCTGAACAGTTTGGTTTTGGAAGAACTCAACAACTCCTGCACACTGCTGCTGCGTGTCAACCTGGCCTGCAGGGGGCGCTGACTCTCAACATGCACCTGCAGACAGAGAGAGACAGAAACATAACACCTCAGACAGCCCTATTTTCACAGCTCAAATCCAGGCACTTTGCTGCCTCTCACTAGCAACACTTCTAGATTTAATACCTCAGAATCAGTAAATGTGAAAATCAGCAGCAATTAGCATGCTAATGATCACTTTCTGTCATCACATGCAATCTGTTCATTAAGTACACCTGGATTACGCTGTCCCCAACATAAAAAACAGACATTTTGTGGTTGGTAACAGACTAAATTCTGGATGTATTAGTGTATGTGTGTCTGTGTACCTGATCTTCGCCGTGTCTCTCTTGCAGCTGTAATTGGACTGTCACCAGTCTGTTCTTCAGCAGCTGGAGTTTGGTGTTGAGCGATTCAGCCTCATGTTGCTCCTGTTCTTTCAATCCACACACAGGAAGACTGGAGATTCTCTGTTCAATCTCCACAAGAATTGTCTAGATGGATGAAAAAAAAAAACACAATTACAAATCAACATACACTCAAACTAAATTCTAAATCACTCTAACACAGCATACACTCATAGTGACAACAAAAAGTTGAGAGTCCACCTCAGAGAATGAACTAGCAGGGCTGAGAGGCAGGTGACAGGTGTTTAATGCACCATTTGACACATTTCACACAACGCTTGTTCTTGGAAAAACAAATATGAACGAAAATCTCATTAATAATCCAACACACAGACTTTAGATTGGGATCGATCAGTGTCTGTCCACCTGTACATCCTGCAGCAAACACTGAGCGCATACAGCACATAATTTTTTCTTAATAATTTGATGATGATTCCTTGATGATGATAATTATCATAACTTAAAGGGATAATTCATTCAAAAATGACAATTCTGTCATTATTTACTCACTCTCATGTTTTGAGAATATGTGTCTGTTTGTGTCTTATGAAAAGAAGCCAATGGTCATCAAAACTGTTTGGTACCAACATTCTTCAAAATATCTTATTTTGTGTTCCACAGAAAAAAGTAAGTTATGCAGGCTATTATGCAAGCCTGTTTTGTAATACTGAGTTTATATGTAACAAATCACACTTTTTTCATGCAATTATGTGTATATAAACTTGCAATTCTGAGAAAAAAGTCAGAATTACAATATAAACTCTGAATTCTGGCTTAATTACTTGCAATTCCCAGTTTACAATCCTGACTCCCCCCCCCAACTCAAATGCAAAATGAGTTTGCATTTGATTTCACAATTCTGAGTTTATTCTATTATTCTGAGATTATTTTTCAGAGAAGAAAGACAAAATTCAGATATAAGCTCATAATTAGGAGAAAAAAGTCTGAATTGTGAGATAAAAAGTCACATTTACACATACATTTTTTAACCCCTCGGTGGAAACTAACTTCCATAGGTTTTAAATGACATGAGGATGAGTAAATGATCACAGAATTTTAATTTTTGGGTGAACTATCCCTTTAACACCTACTTGACCAGAACCATATGTATACAACTGATCAGATATATTTTTCTACAGGCTGATTGATTCCTGCATATGATGGCTGCTGGTGTGTTTAAGTGGTAGTTATAACCGTTTACCAGGTCACTGTGCTGGAGCTCAGCTGAATCTCTGAATCTTTGATGAAGGAGTTGGGTTACACACACACACACACACACACACACAAAGGTGAGTGCACTGCATATCTGGTTTAACCACTTTAAAATGCCAAACAGCACAATGAGACGGAATGTTCAATGCCAAGCTCAAAAAATCAGGAGAGCATAAACATCTGTATTCCTTTTAGGCTTTAAGACACTTCAAAAGATCTGACAGGCTAAATTATTCGATTTAAATGGGGAAACTTACAAAGAACTGGTAGAAAAAAATATTGCATCAGCACATGACAGATAAGCTATCTTTCTCCTCAAGTAACTTTAAATGAAAGTGAGCACTCAATAACTGAAATATCTGCATAGAGAGTTTCCTTAAGAAAGGAGAAGTTGAAATTCATGATGCATTGACACGTTCATGCATCGGAAATACAGCGCTGTGTGGGTTTACAGACATGCTCATGCATGTTCTGTGTATAACATGTATGTGTGTTTAAAAGAGAATAAAATAGGTTGAGAGAGAAAGGAAAGAAAAAGAAGCAGGCATCAATATGTCTTCACTCCACCCGAAAAGTAAATAAGAGACTCATATTATTTGGTTCTCTGAGCCATGATGTACAGTACTGCCCACTCACTTACTGTACACTTGCATTTCCAATACTTATAAACACAAATATAAGCATTTAACTCTAGTGATCCAGCGCTAAGATTTACCTGCAGTGATTTAGCATTAAGAGCAAAAGCGGTTATCCATCATCAAATAAGACAATAAAACAAAATAATTATTTTGTTTCCATAATCACTGAAACCAATCTAATCTGCTCCTGATTGTATTTCAGCCAATCAGTATTTTTGTACACTGTAACTATTATTCTAAACAAATAATACATTTTCAGTCTAACCAAAATACTAAGTTAAAATACATTTTGACAGTCTATTAATCATAAAGACTGCATTGTGTTTAAGTGTACATCAGGAGATCTGAGCTTGTGACCTGTGATTACTGCCATCGGCAAACACTTAGATCTCCAAGCAATAAAAGAGTTTACAGTTGTAAAACACTGCAGAAAAAGACAGACAATGAAAGAGCAAGGCACAAAGAAAAAGAGAAAGACTTGATTATACAGGAGAGAACTGATTTCTACAGAAACTGATAATGATGTCTTTTAAAGTTTTATAGAACTGAACAGTTCTACTTTTTTACAGACAGAAACATTAGAAGAAGATTGTATGATCGTGTCAGATTGGTCTGTAATACTCATGGCAGGTTTAGAGGCAACTTTATTTTGAACGGAGCCAAATATATAACCAGGCTCAATGTGTGACAGATCTCAGCTCTGAGCACTTCCTGTTCTGCTGAGTCAGCATCAGCAACAACAGTAGGCAGAGGGAATATGTGTGTTTTGTCTTTTTTTTTTCTTTTTCAAAATGTCAATAGATTTTAGTCATTTTTATTTCAGTTTTAGTCATTTTAGTACATTAATTTAGTAAATTAATTTAGAGAAATTTTGCCTTGGCAGAAGATTTTATATTTTATTTCAGTTGACTTTTATTTTATTTCAAATGGTTTTAGTGGTAACACTTTATTCTAAGCACCAATTCTCACTATTAACTAGTTGCTTATTAGCATGCATATTACTAGTATACTGGCCGTTTATTAGTACCTATAAAACACATATTAATGCCTTATTCTCCATGACTATAGTTTAGATCCTAGCCCATACCCAAACTTAACAACTACCTTACTAACTATAAATAAGCAGCAAATTAGCAGTTTATTGAGGGAAAACTCTTAAGTAATAGTGAATGTGTTCCCTATTCTAATGTGTAACCGTTTTAGTTAACTATAATCACAACAATCCTTGACCTTTGAAATGCAGGTATATGAGTGTGTGTGTGTGTGTGTGTGTGTGTGTGTGTGTGTGTGTTTTGTGATGGAGGTATATGTGTGTGTGTGTGTGTGTGTGTGTGTGTGTGTGTGTGTGTGTGTGATCACCTGGCAGTTGTGAAGTTGTTGTTCAATGCAGTGCTGCATGGCTGCGTCCTGTGCTTGCTGTCTCGACCCCTCCAGACTGACCTGTGCTCTCTCCAGACACACCTCCAGCTGCTTGGCCCTCTCACGGCAGGCATGGAGCAGCCCGTCACCGGACAACCATCCACCCGAGCCCCCGGCTTCACCTGCGGCCTGGACAATCATACACAACAGCAGCTCAGAGCCAGATGTACATGAAGAGAGAAAAGAAAATCACGAGGCAGGGGAAGGATAATAGAAGAAGACAGGTAAAGGTAAAGACAGGTGTACTGAGAGAGAGAGGAGAGAGAGAGAGAGAACACCTGCTCTGGCTGACTGCAGCAGAAACAGTGAGTACACAGCAGCACAAACACACAAACACACACTGGGTGTGTCCTCTGACCCAGAGACAAACAAACTTTCACACTCTCACACACTCTGCTTTCTTTCTCTCTCAGTTTCTGTCTCACACAGGTTTAACCCTTTTGCTTGTTTCTCTGCCCCCTGGTGCAGTCTTTCTCTCAATAAACTGTCTCAGCTTTCATACCAGTCATTTGTCATGTAGCTTCTCTCTCTCTCTCTCTCTCTCTCTCTCTGTCTGTCCCTGGTTTTCTCCACCCACCTGCGGTTACAACTACTTCCTGGAATGTCGTCACTTTCGAGGGCAGCTTGTGTGACAAGGAACACACTCACACACACATTAAGGAGGAACTATACTTTTGCCTTGCACAGGCTCAAATGGCCTAGATTATTTTTCATCCTTTATTCTATTCCATTACAATTCACTTCTTTCTAGCTTTAGAGAAAACCCTGCTTTTGTCACAGAATATCTTAATTTATTGGAATTACTGCAATTCATAGATGTTACTCTTTCTTCCATATAACAGAAATATAGCCACATAGATTAGACGGGCTCTATAATAATTTAAGAATCAACCACCATAACCTATGGTGGACTTCAAATCTGAAAACTGGGAATGTGTCCCCCTCAGTGTCTTTGGTGGTTATAGTCCTAGGTCATATTTTATCAAAATCTATTCGTGATTTTTTTTTTTTTGTACTATGAAAACATACTTTCAGAAATCCAAACTTCCTTCCCAGTCCACAGAGACTTTTAATTAAAAACTTTTTGACGTCAGACAGACATATTTCAACACTGGACTGCCCGTATTTACATCAACGCCTATTCTGTGGGTAAGATAATGAGGAAGTAGGATTTCTATGCAAAAGGGTATTTATATACAAGTATTAAAGTCACAACAGCAAAAAAAAAAAAAATTGGCCTCCTCAATTGTAACAATCAGAGAGTGAACTGATCATAAATAAACTAAATCAAGACTTTTTGATGTAAAAAAAAAAAAAAAGATTAACGTGGACGTTTGCAGAAAAATATACAAATTGATTAGTTTAGTTTTTAATATTTTCTGCATATGGGTGGATTCCTGATTTTGTGCAGAGTTTAACACGGTAATAGTAATAATACCAAATATTAATAATATTAATAATAGTACATATTGAGTTGTTAATTATTAATAATAACCAACAATTAATGATTAATGAAGGATTATTTTTAAGGAATCACCTAGTTGCAAAGGTAAATTCCTGTTACTGAATCCAATCTTTGAGATCTCAGATTGCAAGAATAGCACTGAGTAGGCTATTCTAGTGTAAGAAACAGAAATATTTCTCCTTTGGGTGAGCAAAGAGAAATGTGCAGATAAAATGCAACACACACTCAGATTTACTACAGTTTGAAGTCAGCAGGTGAGTGAGTTGATGTGTAAAGTGTGAGTCAGTGGGGTGAGATTCACTATCAGCATCTGTGCTTACCAAAGATGCACTTGCAGCCAGTGGCTCTGTCCTCTCCAGGCAGGGCTTGACTGTAATTTGTGTGTGTGTGTCGTGTGTGCTTCTGCTGTCTAACCTATGGTCTTCTGCATTTGATGGAGTGTGTGTCAGAGTGTGTAAATGTTGCTCTGGTGATTTGGCTGATGGTGTATTTGTGGGTTTTGTGGAGCTCAGGCTCTGAGGCACAAAGGTGGTTTTCTCTAAGTGAGTCTGTTGACTGAGTGTGGAATGTATTTCTGAAACTACCTTAAGTTTTTCTAAGGAATCACCCAGCCCTTCATCAGAGGTCATGACATTAGGTAAGGTGAACATGCCTTTTGTTTCAGTGGGTGGGGCTTGTGACTCTGAATGTTTCTGTGTCATGTGTGTCAGTGTGAGTTTGTAATTGGTGTGTGGCGTCTGTTCCCCCCTCCATGCACCCTGCTCCTGACACAGACAGAGAAAGAGAGAGACGAGCAAGTGTGAATTTTTTGTTGGAATTTATTTTTTTTCAGACTTGAAAGGAGCATGATAGTGTTCACACAGGAGGTATCAGAGGGAGAGATCAGGAGAACATGCACAGGTGCGTATAAGAGTCAGTGCGTTTACATGGCACAAAAAGAAAAAAAATACTAAATATAAATAACATAAAGCATACAGTATACAACTGTTCTTCTTATATTCTTGAGCAGGAAAAGCTTACTTTTAGAAAATGTGTCATGTAAACAACAATCGTTCATGAAAAACAATAAAACAATAAAATTAATCATAATACACATGCACTTAGACATAACTGTGCAGAGTGAGCAGCCAGCGATTAGCTGATTTTTACTGTTCACGTTACATTGTTTCACTCCACGAAACAAAATCTGTTCAACAATCCTTTCAGAGTAACCATCTTATCTTGCATTTGGAAAAAAGAAAACACACTGCTATACAAAAACCAAAAAATACATGCCATATAAAAGATTTTAGGATCTTTTTGGTATCATAGTATTGTATTTAGTAGCTAAAAGTCAAGGAAAAGATACCATGCAATGGATAAATACACTGATTTTCCTGCTTGGTTGGACATTTAACGCAATAATTACGCTTAAATGTGGAAAATAGTAATAATGAAAAGGTAATGAAAAGTAGGTGTGTCCAAAATTTTGACTGGTAGTGTATAAAGATATTTGTAAATAAAATAGTTTTATATCTGATGGAAACTTGTGGGAGTAACTGTGCAGCGTATGAAAAATAGTGCTTTTTAAGCGTTAAGGTGCAGTCATATTTATCGTCGCTCTGAGAAATTGTGCAGGTTAAATTTCTACTGAAATCGGCGCAGTGAAGAATTTTGCCTGATGGGCTTTTGGTGGCAAAAATAAATTTCCTTAATATCAAAGTGAATTTCACGTCAGGTTCAGATTTGGTGAACTTTCTATTCAGCCATTTTTTTCATAACACTATACTTCAATACCATAACCAGATGAAGAAAACATCTGTTTAGAAAGAAATTATTTAGGGTTGGTTTGTTTGCTAGCTGGCAGAATAGCATATTTTGCTAAATTCAGTTGAGCAACGGTAAGTGTGAAAGCACCTTTATACTGTAGTTGATTATAATGGGATCCAGTTTTATTGTGCAACACCGCACACGTCCTGTATAGACACGGTGTAACATGTAAACATCGATATTATGGAAAGTGACAAAAATTCAAAATGCTCTTTGGTATTAGAATGTTCTCTCTCTCGATCTGCAGAATATCCTGACAGAATTAGTCAACATCAAAAACATTTAAAAAGAAAATCATAAACTCCTCCTCAGGAAGTTGCTTTAAGTCCTTATATACAATGATTTGTTTGATTTATATAAAACTATTTAGCCTAATTTTCCCCTTGTTTCATTATTGTGAACTCAGTTCTGAACTATTTGAAGAGATTCTCTCCTCGGAAGTCTTTATTTTTTTTACACATCTGCCATGTAAATGCACTGGGAAGAGAGTTCTAGCTCTAGAAACATCTACATCTAGGGGTTGTAGAGGTGGGAGTTAAGACATGGAGGTTCTGTAGGGAGAGAACTACAACTAGGAGACCAAACACCTCTGCTGGCCTCTGGAAGGGGACGTGGAGATCTCTGTAACAGAGGAGGTATTGGTTACCATGTCTGCAGGGAGAGACTGGCTTTCCACTGTGGCATCTGCTTCAGATAAAGCTTCTGACACACCTGTTCCTGAGGCCACAGAGGTATCTACTTCTACCTGCAAACACAGGGAAAAAGAGGTTACTCTTTACATACTCTGATATGATATCTTTTTGTAGTTCCAAAAGACTACAAAACGTTAAAAATGTTTTAAGTGGTCGAGAGTTTTAAGTGGCCACTTAGCACTTTTTAAAGATCAAAAATTTGACACACTGTCTTTTTTCAGAGGTTGCAAGGCAGCAATAATTTTGCCCCTGAATACACTACACATACACATTAATGTGATCAAATAAAGACTATTACTGTAGAGGTCTAGTGTTACCTTTGAGTCTGCTGCTTCTGCTTGCTCCAAAATCTGTTCTGTAGAAGAAACCACGTCTGCAGAAACTGTGTCCTGCACAAAAAAACAAACAAACAAAAAAAAAAAACAGTCAACCACGAGATTGGTTACTCAAGTACAGATTAAGTCTTGTCTCAAACTGAAGAGTTTGCAAAACAAATTTATAAAGCCCAATATGTTGTGCATTATTATAGTTATTTGTCCATGGATAAGAGTTCTCTATATTGTGCCTATGAACACCTGCATGACAGAATCATGGTATTGTTAATAATACAGATTTACACTTAATCTCTGTAAAATACACGTAATACATTTTAGACGGATATAAAATAGATTTGCATAATGTTTAAATTAATTCATCATGTGCCACATTTGCAAATGGAGATCACAGCACTTGTGATTCGCAAGTACAGGAAGTATCTGAAAAATAGTAAATGCAAACTCAATGAAAGAATGAAGTCATACTGCCCCCTAGAGGACGAGGAATAACACGCACATCATCATCTAATCAAACTGCACTGTGTTCAGAAAAGTAAAATCTGAATTATCTTTATATTAAACTGAAAGAAAGAAATCAAAACTTTGATGTGACAAAGCAGAATCTGGAAGAAGAAGAAACAAGGACTTGGTGAAGCTGAGGAGGGTGACGATAAATGTAGTAAAGTACACAACAGGTTAAGTCAAATGGTGGAAAAACTATGAACCATGTGATGGAAAGAGTAAGCATGTAGAAAACATGCAGAGGAAACATCAGGAGGTGTCCAGGCCTGAAGTCTTTGATCCCCCTGCATTACCTCCACAGTCATGCTGAAGGAAGCCTCAGAATTCAGAGAGGTTGGTGATCTTCCTCTTGCCTCCCCATCCTCATTTTTTATGCAATCTTCATAGTCTTCATCAGAAGCATCTTCCTCTCCATCTCCTGGATCTTCACAGAGCTCCTGCTCTTCCTCAGACTCCTGCTGTCCCATCACATCAGAGACACACACATGCACAGCAGCAGGCACAAACACAACCATGCAACCACACAGACACACATAGCGTCAACTGGAGTGATGGAGAGGTTTCCGCAGATAGACAGACTGCAGACATGTCATGTGCTGCACTTGATATTATGAACCTCACAAATATGCGAATAAGAAGGAATTATGCTACCCTGTGTTAGAACATTCTAGACAAATAACATCAAGTGTGTGAAGCCAGCAGAACTCTAGCTTCAACTATTTCAATGTTGATAATAACAGGAAATGTTTCTTGAGCACCAAAATCAGCACATTAAATTTATGAAGGATAATATGACACTAAGGACTAAAGTAATGGCTGCTGAAAATTCAGCTTTGCCATCACAGGAATAAATTAATAAAATATTTTGACTTCAAATTGTAAATAATTTTGTAATATTTCAAATTGTAATAATATTTCAAAATATTACAGTTTTTACTGAATTTTATATCTAATTAATACAGCCTTGGTTTTCTAACTGCTTATTTGTATATTTATTTACATAGAAATGAACATTTAAAAAGAGAAAGTGGATTATTGTACACTTAACATTTAAAAAAAATATATAAAAATACCAACAAGAACATGATTTTTTTAGGTTTACATATTAGGGTTTCCTCCCTTATGTAAAAGATATTTTTTAAAAGAATACTTTAAAATAAGCTTTAAAAATATAAAATGAACATGTCCAGACTATTTTTTAAAAGATTTATTTTTGGCATTTTTTGCCTTTATTATGAAAGGACAGATCAGAACTAACAGGAAGCGAAGTGGGAGAAAGATAGGGGTCAGGATCGGGAAAGGTCCTCAAGACGGGATTCGAACACGGGATTCGAACACGGGACGCCCGTAGCGCTATGACACTGTATGTCGGCGCGCTGCTCACAAGGCTATAACGGTGCTGACAATTAAAAAAAAAACAATTTTTTTTTACTATTTTTGTTTTGAAGTAACTGTTTTATGAAAGCAATGAACTATGCATGCTGTGCCCAACAAAGCCTTTTAACCATGACTATACTGCACACTACATATACCCCTTATTGTCAACTGGAGTGATGGAGAGGTTTCCGCAGATAGACAGACTGCAGACATGTCATGTGCTGCACTTGATATTATGAACCTCACAAATATGCGAATAAGAAGGAATTATGCTACCCTGTGTTAGAACATTCTAGACAAATAACATCAAGTGTGTGAAGCCAGCAGAACTCTAGCTTCAACTATTTCAATGTTGATAATAACAGGAAATGTTTCTTGAGCACCAAAATCAGCACATTAAATTTATGAAGGATAATATGACACTAAGGACTAAAGTAATGGCTGCTGAAAATTCAGCTTTGCCATCACAGGAATAAATTAATAAAATATTTTGACTTCAAATTGTAAATAATTTTGTAATATTTCAAATTGTAATAATATTTCAAAATATTACAGTTTTTACTGAATTTTATATCTAATTAATACAGCCTTGGTTTTCTAACTGCTTATTTGTATATTTATTTACATAGAAATGAACATTTAAAAAGAGAAAGTGGATTATTGTACACTTAACATTTAAAAAAAATATATAAAAATACCAACAAGAACATGATTTTTTTAGGTTTACATATTAGGGTTTCCTCCCTTATGTAAAAGATATTTTTTAAAAGAATACTTTAAAATAAGCTTTAAAAATATAAAATGAACATGTCCAGACTATTTTTTAAAAGATTTATTTTTGGCATTTTTTGCCTTTATTATGAAAGGACAGATCAGAACTAACAGGAAGCGAAGTGGGAGAAAGATAGGGGTCAGGATCGGGAAAGGTCCTCAAGACGGGATTCGAACACGGGATTCGAACACGGGACGCCCGTAGCGCTATGACACTGTATGTCGGCGCGCTGCTCACAAGGCTATAACGGTGCTGACAATTAAAAAAAAAACAATTTTTTTTTACTATTTTTGTTTTGAAGTAACTGTTTTATGAAAGCAATGAACTATGCATGCTGTGCCCAACAAAGCCTTTTAGCCATGACTATACTGCACCTTACATATACCTTATTTCTTAATTCTCATACCTGTGTTTCTTTGAGGGTGTGGCTGCTTCTATCAGAGATCCAGGTGAGTCTCTGCTCCAGTGTGGATTGCTCCACCGTCATCAGCGTTGCTCCTGACTTTTTCAGGATGTCCTCCTCTACGTGCACAATCTGAATCTGACCACTCTCCTGCACACATATATTATAATCAATATGTAATCACTGCCTCTTGATCAACATAATTGTAACCTAATATTTCATCTAACCTGTGTGTCTTCCTCAGTGATTGTGGGTGGAACACTGAGGGTTGGGGCAGTGAGGGGCGGCGCATTGAGGGGTGTGACACAGAAAGGTGGGACAGATGTCTCCTGTACCTCAATCGAGTATTCTAGTGCCAGCTGAGAGGAGACAAACATAATACTGAGCATTGTGTGAATTGTGTTTGCATGCTTGTGTGTGTATACAGTATATATGTACACCTGTTCAAGTTCCAGCAGTTGTTTCTGTAGTAGTTCTACTTTTTTGAACACTAGGAGTGTGTTTTCAGCTTTGTCAGGAAGACACAGACCATCTTTGCAGTTCTGAATCTCAGTGACTGTCCTTTTCATCAGGTCAGTCCTTTCTTCTGTTGCCTGCAAACACACACAAAACACCCACAGCAATCAGGATATTAATAGTAACTACATCATTTTGGTTACGCCCATACCTGGTCAAATGTTTAAATACAAGGCAAAATTTTCTTTTACCTTAAGACTGTCCTGACTGATGTCTTCTTTGGTGGTCAGAGTAGATTTGATTTTGGCCACATCTTTCTCCATGACTTTCACCTCTGACTCAATGGCATCCACTTCCTTAAACACACCATGCAAACATACATGAACAGATGAAATTCACAAATTCATGAAATTCACTTTTCTCTTTTACAGATAACACAGCTCTGCATTTGTATGCACTAAACTACAGTTTAGCTAACCTCCCTCTAGGAATGTTAGATAAAATAGAACACACACACACACACACAGATATGATATATATATCTCATAAAAGTAATTATTATAAGCTTTATATAAAAACAATACAAGTCTATAATATATAGTCATTTATCTTATTAGACGCCGGTATGCTCACTGCTGCTGCATGCTCCAGCTGAGAGAGAGGCCCCAGCAGGTTGTGCTGCATGTCTGCCACACGTCGATCAGCATTTGAGAGCTGCTCCTCTAATGGACTGACATCAAACACACTTCCCATCTCTGTCAGCACACTGCCGAAACCCTGCAGAGTCCGTCTCATCTGAGCAGAATCATCCAGAACCATCTAAAACACGAAAATGATAAAGGCTTTTAGACTGATACATAAAAGATCTGGGCATTTAACCGAATACTAAGTTCAAACCCAACAGTGGGATGATGCAGGTTTCTTCAGCAGTCAGCTAAATGATAATGAGGTTTCTGAGAGTAATACCTGCAGTGCATTCACATGACTGTCTAGGCATCTGGCAGTGGTGTATGTGCAGGGTGTTGTAAGCCAAGACTGAGCCTCTGAGATCCAGCTCTGTGACCCCTTCACCATCTCCTCCTGCTCCTGCATCCAGTCACGGACCTACACAGAGTCAGTTTAGATAACACACTTTAGATAACACACAATTTAAGTCATAAATTAGTTAGAATTCACTGAAACTCCGGTTTTCTCTATCATGTTTAACTTCTTTGCTCAATTTTAGATTAACCATTCTTTAAATATTTATCCAAGTACAGCAAAGCATCATGGGAATCTGAGCAGGTGACCTTGCTGAGGAAGGTGGTCCTCTGTTCGGCCTGTTTGGTGAGGCATGTGTGGGTCTGCTGAGTGTTGGCCAGGTTGTCAAATAACAGACAGGTCTCATCTGGATGCATTTCACTCACATCCTGTAACTCCACCTCGACCGCTGTCAGACGAGTATGTAAACCATCCAACTCATCCCACACTCGCTGCAAAGGAACAATAAAACACATAATAAATCTTCCATTACTTTTTTAATCCGCGTCTAGACTTCACAGTTGTGTAAAAACTAATTTAACACATTTAAAACACTGTCACAGAACTTAAAGGCAGGTTTATTTTGAGCTTTCCCTGAAACGACTTGTAGCATTATGTCTGCTACGCTGTAACCTGTTAATATGGGCACCAATAGTAAGATAATGTACATTTACAATACAAAATGCACGAAACAAGTCTTACACTGAGCTAAATTTATGTCTGACCTTCTGTGTGCTCTCAGCTTCAGTGAAGTTCAGGCTCTTCTGCTCTAACCAGCTCTGAACTGATCCCAGACCTGCTTTAATCTCCGAGATTTTAGCACCCAGCCTGTGAAGTGGGCCACTTTCCTCCACAGCGGTCTTCACCTGTGAGTGAGCGAGTGAAATGGACATAAAAACAGGTATATGTCAATTAAAATAAACAGAATTACTGATATTACTTTTAAAAAGCACTAAACACGTGGACACATTGAGTGTCTATGAGACAAAACTCCAAGAACTGCAAGAGGCCCAAACCTTAATTAACGAACCCATAGAGCTTACCTAACTACTACATGTGTGTGTGTGTGTGTGTTAGAGTTTGTATATGAATGATGCAACACATCTTACACCTGTGAAAGAGTGTGTGTGTGTGTGTGTGTGTGTTTTGAGTATGCGTCTCTGATGCAGGGATCTACCTGTTCTAGAGTGAGATGTTCTCCTCTCTTAATTCATTAAAGATGACATAAAACAGCAGAGAGTGTGATGTTTAAAAGGTGCGCAAAGCACATTTAGTTGTATTTGAATTCAATAACAGACAAGAGTATTTTACATTATGGTGCTCTTGTCAGCGCTCACAAACATTTGCCAAATGTCCATATTAAAATAAGAAAAAACTTTTAGAGGTATGTTTCGATGAATGTAAAATCTGGGTGCTGAAACAAAATAAGTTGGGAACCATTCAAAGAATGCATCAAACCTGTTCCTCCACTTTCTGTAATGACTGTGAGACTTCCTGTAATAGTCCCTCTATCTCCTCTGGAATTGATGTATTTTTTTCAGAGTACATCATCTTCAAGCTTTCCGAAATACGCTGCAGAACGGCCTTCTGGGTACACAGCTGTGAGTGAACCTCCTGTTTAGCAAAAAGCGACATTGCTCATCAATTAGGCTACATTAAAAGCGAGTACATCTATGGACTGCACAAATAACCATTTTCCATTTTATCCATTTAATTTCAAAAGTACTTGGTACAAGAGTTTTTTTTCCAAACCAAAGCTCATCGAAGTGCCATAAACAAGAACAGCAAAGGTAGGTAAATTTGACTGGTTTCCCAAATTACACAAGCATGGGTAATTTGCAGAGCAGCCAGTGAGTATAAAGAAAGAGACATCATCTGAAATTTGAAGTTGTTCGTGGTCAAAATACAATCATATTTATTACAGAGAGATATAAGGTATTTTATGGTGTCCCTGACAAATAGGAAAGAAAAACACAGTTTCAAACAAGTGCCAAGTTTTTAGAAATGTTTTTCTGATTACCTGAACTAACCTTGTCAAAGCCTAAAATGTTAAATTTTCTGAAATTGATGAGATTTATTGACCTTTTACTCATCTTTGTGACAACAAAATATTTATTATTAAACAATATGAAAATATTGTTAGTACTTTTAATAAAATATTATTGTTTAATTCTTTTTAGGGTATAATAAAAAAAAAAAACATACGTTTTTAAAAAAAAAAAGACAGTTTCAAATGATTGGTAAACATAATTATATTAGAGTTGTATTCAGATAATTGTAAATTACAGATTCAGGCATTAAAAACAGCACTCCAGACAATAACACTTCCCTTCAGACTCTTCCATTTTTCTTTCATGACAAATATCAGCAGATATTTTGCCAAGTAAAGTTTTACTTTAGTTAAAATAGTTTAAACATTTTACAGTGGAAGAATTGTGGAAAAATTTTGAGATTCTACTGGATACAAAATATCAAAAAAGATCAGACTCTTCCATTTTTCTTTCATGACAAATATCAGCAGATATTTTGCCAAGTAAAGTTTTACTTTAGTTAAAATAGGTTAAACATTTTACAGTGGAAGAATTGTGGAAGAATTTTGAGATTCTACTGGATACAAAATATCAAAAAAGATATAATAAAGAAAACACTTACATTTATTGGAACACCAGAAAGCAAATGGAAACGATGCACAATGTGATATTCGTATATTATGTGATATTCAATGCAAATCAGTCTTTCATATAGCACTAGTCTTGCTGGTTGACCCATTCACTGATGATGCTCGTAGTCCCTCAAGCTTTAAGATAACAGAACCAGAACAATCCACTCAAAAAGCTCTCTCTATCCATCTCAACCCTTTTCACCTCACCAGTGAGATAAAGCTTCTACCCCCTTTTTATATTATAATGAGTCATTTAAGATGGGAAGAAAAGCTGCATAAACAAGATCCCAAAATTACCGAAAACCCAGAGGGATTCAGAGTCAGAATGGACCATGCATTAGAGAGAGAGAAAGAAAGATTATCCGTTCAGATCACTCTATTTGGCAGCTGTTTTAGGTTTTATTAACAGTTATGACTTCTGCTATTCTTCATAATATTTTATGCTCATTCTTACCCGTTCTGCTTTACTGCTTTGGCAGTATAATATGGAACACATTCAAGAAAAGTGAATTGAGAGGGGATTTTGTATGTGTGAGAGAGATAGAGAGTGCATTAGCTGACATCATTACTGGCGTTTGGCTCAGACCTGGAGGATCCACTTACAGGTGTGTGTGTTTAGGGGGTACTGATTCACAAGTGTGTGCTTGTGAGAGCGAATGAGAAAAAGAGAGAAAGAGTGTGTGTGTGTATCTGAAACAGTGAAAAGAAATTGTGTGGGAATATTGGACATGACTCAGCTATTTAACTAGAACACTAACACAGAGCCCTCTCATCTTTGTCTGTGTGTGTGTGGTAAAGAGAATCTACAGCAGTCTGTGTGTTCGAGAGAGAATAACTGTTTAAAAGTCTTTGAATCTTTAAGAGTGTGTGTGTTTGAACTGATTGGACGGAACAGCCTATTCAGCACAGTAAACAGTCACACAGTGTTCTAAATAGACATAAAGAGCAAGCAAATAAAAGCGTCTTAACCAGCGACAGTCGTGGTAAGCTATAAACAACAGGATATTTTGTTGATTGCTTGGTTTCCATTTCTACAAATTGCATGTCACTTGGAAGAGCCTGGTTGGGACAACCAATACTGAACAATAAAACCTAGACTAAACAGCACTGTATGCCATTACCCACAGTATCTCTGCTGCTCAGAAACAAACACTGCAGGATTCATTAATCTGTCAGTGTCTATTCGGGTTTATTAATTTTTAAAATGTCTTAATTTGTGCATTATCGTTTCAGTATGCATCTGTACTTTTGTATGTGCATTTGCTTTGCTTTTCCAGTAAGGTATGAGATCTGTAAAGTCATAGGCACGCTGAATCTGGCAGTCTACTCTTTCAAAATCCTATCTACACTACAAAAAATACCCAAACATTTATCTGGCACAAAAATAATTCAGATTTTAGATAGTAGAAACTAAAAGCAAGCAACTAATCAAACTAGCAAACCCTAATTTATTAAATTTAGTGGAAAACATAGTAAAGAACCACAGAATTAAATGTTTCACAAACGAACAAAACACAGGAACCTTTGCTGCTACACCAAAATGAAAAAAACTTACACTGATTTGAAAGCAGATGATTTGTAATGCCTAATGAAAAAATGTAGTCAATTTAGTTAACACGTTACTCCCCAACATGAAAAGGTGGAGTATTATTTATGGGTGAGAGGTATTATTCATACAGTACATCATGCAGAGTGAGGGCAGAGATAATGAAGTTTGCTGGCCGCAGTCAGGGACAAACAGAACATTGTGTCAATGGCAAATCCCTCCCTTTCCTCTGCATCTCATAAGCTTTAGTAATTCTCATGCTGGTGCAATAAATTTACTTACTGTAACAAATCTTGCCTGTGCAAAGTTAGAATCCAATTCAACTCAAGTCAAAAAAACATCTAAAGTGGATAAAAACCAGCTTAACAAATGCACGTCACAAGACAAGTAACAAACCTGTAGTTGCTTCTTGCTGGGCTCGTGCTCCAGTACAGCGAGGAGAGAGACTGCAGATTCCAGCCATTCTCTGACTCCCTCCAGCTGCTCCTGCACTCGTTCCCTCTCCTCCACCTCTGTTCTTACTGCCCTCAAACCCTGAGAGCTCCGTTCCTTTAGACTGCAGGACATACAATTTAAAAGTCATGTTAAACTTTCAGTCCAAGTCCATACTGCAAAAAGGATGCTAAAAAGGCAGGAGGAAAAAAAAACTATTAAACGTCCTAGAATCCTTACATCAGTATGTTCTCGTTCAACATAAAATAAACTTTCATGCATGTAAATTTAAATATTATCCAGATATTTAGCTTAGTCTGTGTGCGGTTTAGCCTATCTGGGATGGGATATTGGCATCCGGTGTTGACCTACTTTAGTCTGTAAGCCCACTGGTTTGAAATTAACGTGTGGACCACTGGGACATGGAGTTCACAATAGGAAATATTGGGCAAAAGACATTCATGTTTAAAAAAACAAACAAACATAATTAAGATACTAAGAAGAAAAGTCAAAAAAGTAAAGAAAAAAAGACAATTAGCAGTAGGCTAAGTAGGTGCCTAACCTATGGTAACGCTCTTGCAAGGCTTGAAGCTCTTGGCACAGCTCAAAGGATGGGGCCTGTTCCAGGTGGGGGGGAACACCAAGCACCCTTGCAGCTCTTAATTCCAAAGCAGAGAGAGCTCTGTGTTCACAGTCCAGTCTGTCCTGGTACTGGGACCAGAAGAGCAGTAGTTCCTGTAGCTCGTCACCAGTCAGATTCTCTCTGCTGCTATCTGAAAGTTCCGCATCCACCTGCTCCAATACAGTGGCTGCCTGCTCCACCTGCAGAATGACAGCAAAGGAAAACAAGCTCAGTTCTTCTTATCTGCACAGTCGGTTATACACTCTTAAAAATAAAGGTGCTTAAAAGATTCTTCACAGCGATGCCATAGAAGAACCATTTTTGGTGCCATAAAAACCATTCAGTCAATGGTTCTTTAAAGAACTATCTCTTTCTTACCTTTTTATAATCTGAAGAACCTTCTTTCGCCACAAAGAACCTTTTGTGAAACAGAAAGGTTCTTCAGATGTTAAAGGTTCTTTATGGAACCATTCAGACAAAAAAGTTATTCTACGGCATCGTGAAGCACCTTTATTTTTAAGAGTGTAGTGTAATGATTTATTTAGAGTAAGCATACCAAAACACGAGTTTCATTGTTATTTCACATGCATGTTGGTGCACCAGTTATAGTCAAGGCACTTACACTCCTTGTGACACTGCTCCACTCTGCTTCCATTTGCTCTGAGCGTGTCTGCAGATCACTGCCACAGCGCTGCAGTCTTGCCACCTGACCCCAGATAGCGCTCATGGCATCCTCCCTGTTGGCTCTGCACCCATACAGTGAACACCACTCTCTCAGATTCTCCAGTTTTCCAGGAAGCATGGCAACCTCTTCCACTAGAGCCTAAAAAGATGAAGAATATGTTTAAATATACTAGCCTCAAATTAATATGTATCTCATTGCATCAGCTGGCAAAACACAGATAAATGAAAAAGATCTTTAGATTATAAGGGGAGGTAATGGTAGTCTAACAAATGCTAGTCTTTTATTTTGACTTTACCTTGAGTTTCTGTTGCTGGTCTTTGCAGTCTTTGTGTGAAGTAATTTTTTTGGAAGCACACTGTGATAGCAATGTTTCTAAGTCTCTCACTTGCTGGCAAAGCTCCTTGTAGCACTTACGAGAATGTTTCTGCCACTCAACACACCTTGTTATGGACAAGAAATTAGTTAATTTTGACATGGGGTATTTGTAATTTGATGACAAGACATGATAAAGTTTCATAAAGATTTGAGATTTGACAAGCATACTGAGTGTATTGTGGTTAACAGTAATTACGTATCTTGATTAGGGATTATGACCATTTACTCTTAGGAAAAAGTTCTTATACAGTATAATAAGGTTTCATACTACATTATGTACCTATTCAAAGATTCTACATTAATTTGAGCCTGGGCCTTAAGGGTCGATAGCCTGACCAGGAGCTCGCCTAGAACTTCTGTGTGTAGAAATTCAATCTTCTGTGGCTTGAAGCAGGGATCTTGTAATGTTTGAGCTTGAAGCTGTGAAACATGTGACTGGAACTCTGTGTCTAGAGTCAGTAAAGCATGTTGTGCATCTATTAGTCTTTCTGAACAGCTTCTAGCAGAGCAGATTGAGGGAAGGAAGGCCAATGTGGCTCTTTGGAGGAACCGAATGGTATCGGTCACTGCTTTGGTGTAGTTCCTCAGCAGTTCTTTAGCTTTAGTTAGGCTCACCTGAAAAGACAGCAGAAATCTACCTTGACTTTATCTGTTTAAATGTATATTTTCATTAAAGATTCTGTATATGATGTTTCTAAACATTTGCACCAACTATATTGCAAAGGAATAGATCAATGAAACTGTGTGTCAAAGATGAAACAGATTAATCTCACCATTCGTTGATCACACTTTTCCAAAACCATATCCTTCAAGCAAGTAAGCTGTTTGGAGTCCTGTGGAGGTTGAGCGCCAATCTTTTTTTCAAGAAACTGAAGCACTCGCATTCTAGATTCTACATTCTTTCTGAGTACAAGGCACTTTCTTAGTTGTTTTTCAATCACTGCCTCTTTTGGTTCAATACTACAAGGCTTTTCCAGCTCCTCATTGGTGTCTTTGAGGAATTGCTGAAGTGCTCTTTTTTCTGATGGATAATAAATATGTTTTAGCAGATCCCATTCCAATATCTGAAGATTATTGTTCACTGCCATTTCTGAGGTTTTGAGACTTTCCAGTATTTGTTTGAGTCTTGTTTGTTCAGCAGAGAGCTGAGATGGATAAAGATCTTCTATGATTTCCTGCAGTTCATCCATTGTTTCCTCACACAAGAGCTTTACTAAAGAGATCTGGATCAGAAGGGCCTGACAGGCTCTGTAGCGTTCCTCTTTGTTGATGCTCTCATCTTTGGTCCTTGGGATCTGAGCCTCCATTTCTTGCTTGACATCTTCAGTGCACCGACTGAGGCTCAAGTACCTTTCATGAGCTTGTGATTTGAGATCCAAATCAATCATTTTGTGGTACAATTCAGTAATAACACATAACATCTCTCTTCTCTTGTCCTCTGAACAAGGACTGACTTGCTCAACCTGAGATTTGCGCTCCACAAGCATCTGTTTGAAGGGTTCAATGACAGAGAGGGTATCCTTGGTAACAGGAAACCTGTGTCTTTTTACATCAACTAACATTTGTCTCAGGCTGTTCTCGAGAGATGACACCTTCCTCTGAGAGGATTCTTGGCTCTGTATAACATCCATAACTTTCTGGCAACATGCCTTCTCATAGATAATAATACTTCTGATGTCCTCTTGAAGGTTGGTGAGTTTCTCATAGAGCTTAGTACTCTCTGTGACACTTAGCTCGGATGCAATGTCTCTGCTTTTCATCAGAAGGGCTTCAGTGACAGCGGACTGCTTTTCTGCCTCTCCAAGAGTGTCCTGGATCTGCCTCAACCTGCGATCCAGGTCTGCCACACTCAAACTTTGATAATCTTCTCTCCTCAAAGCTTCCCTCTGCAGATGACCAACCACCCAGGAATCAACATCTGCTATCTGCTCTGACATCTTCTCCCGGGTCTGAAGTCCTGACTCCATCTCGCGAACTGCCTCAGCCAGTTTTCCTGCTGTTGATTTGGACAAATTCTCTAGGACCTTCAAGGATGAGGTCACCATCGAAACATCAGCTTCATCTAGATCACAAATCAGCTCAGTGACTTCCTCAACCAAAGACTTCAACTGGATTTGCTTCGAGTTCATCTCAGACTGCAATTTCTTTAAATCTTTAATCTGTCGATGGACTTCTTCTGGAAGCAAAGACACATTTTTCTGTCGTCCTTTGACATCACATTCTGTCTGCTTGGCCCAAGCCAGAGCATCTGTCATCACCTTAACAATTTTACTTAACGTTGAGTTGCTGCTGCTAGGGGTTGAAGCTGCTAACTGTTCACCCATTTGATTCAGCTGATCTTTTATATACTGAAGATCCTGCTCTATGCTGAATATCTCTGCATTGAATTGGAATTCCTGGGAAAGTGCCTCAGAGGTCTGCTGAAGGTAGAGGTACTGCTGATGGGTGGAAATGAGATCAGCATTTAAATTCATAATTTCTTGAGCTCTCTTGCCATCCCATAAAACTGATGAGGATTTCGATGCATCCAAGGTCTTCTGAATGTTCTCGAGATGGTCTTTTAAGGCACTGACCTCTTGAATAAGGCTGCTGATTTCTTTAGCATGAGCATTAACCATGTAAAGAGCAATCTCTGCATCCTTCTCAAGCACACTCCACTGGCTTCGCAAATTGTTTTGCTGTATTTCCGCTGCTTGTCTCTCAGGCACACTGAGGTGGGGGGACAGTTTTGCATGAGTCTGAATTAACTCACCGAGAGCTGTCCTTTCCTGCTCCATATTTCTCAAGAAAGAGCGCAGCCTTTCCTCCTCAGCAAAACCGCTCACAGCTGGAGAGCTAGAGATATGAAAGATACATTTATGGGCTTTTACATTCTCTTACATTCTCCAAGTTGTTTAGTGTAGGGGTCGACTGATATGTATTTTTCAGGGCAGATGCCGATTATTACAGATCAAGTAGTCTGATAACCGATATTTTGAGACGATATATATATCTGGTGTAAAAATGAAAATTAATGTCAAAATTAAGAATAAAAAGGGCTCTGACAAAAACTTTCTTTAAAGATCACATATTTTACACCTTTCTGGAGTTTTATTTTAGGTTTTGATGTCCTTAAGAATATATATTTGCGGTATAAGTACCAAAAACTATCTCAATATATTTTTACAGCTCCTCTCTCAGGAGCTCTGCTGAGAACAGGTCGATTTTGGCCTGTCTAATTAATATTCATGAGCCTCTCTTCTGATTGGCCTGTTGTTTTCTGAGTGACGCACGGCCAGGCCAACCACAGGTAACTAGGGTCAGCCGACGTCACAGCGCTAGCTGGAGGCAGCAAAACAAAGGGGAAACTGGAGGCGGCCCATTCAAACCAGCGCAGATTCGGCTACATAAGGAGCTTAAAATATCATCTTGTTGTGATGTTGGGTGCAAGAATCGACGTAATACAGCCTCAAATTAGAAATTTGATCGCATATCTGCTGCCACTGCCAGACAAAAAACCGACGACAGCTGTGGTTAAACACGATAAAAAGAGCAGACTGAACAGAAACGATCGTCAAAAATGCTCACGTTTGCAGCGCACACTTCTTATCAGAAAAGGTTCAATAAAGTATTCTTTTGTTGTTATGGGCGCGTCTACAGATTTCTTGCCATATGTCTGTTTCTTGCATCTCACGACTATGTCATGTATAAAATAATGTCTGTGTGCATGTGTATAAAACAACAAACTGACAATTTATATATAATCATTTGTAATTGTATATACATTGTTGTGATTAATTGTGGCTGGAACAATAATGTAGCTGTAAAAATAGTTGCCTGCTGAAATTGAAATGTATATACATCTTCATCATGACTAGATAGACACGGTGAGTTTGTCTTTACTATACACGTTAAATGTGATCCACCTCATAGTAACAATCCTGTCAGATCGTCCATCCTTTGAGTGAGAGTGTAACGTTACAGGTCGGCCGATCTGGTTTCGTGGTTAAAGTTAACCTTTTCGACATGTTTCCGTGCTGTCGTTGCTCAGCAATGGCATGGACGCGATGTTGTCTGGGGGTTTGGCAAAAGGAGAGTGGGACGGTGGGCAGTGCTC